AATGAAATATTGATTGGCCATTATTAAGCCCAATTGATGGTATAAGGGAGGTTTTCAATACCCATTTTTAGACTGCATTCTAGTCTGGGCAATTAAGCAACACTCCCGTTCTCTCTCCCTCTTCTTCTTCCTTTTTCCTCTTCATTCCTTTTTTTTTCTTTTCTTTTTTTTTTTAAAAAAAAATATCATTTTATAAATTTAAATAACTTATCTTAATATTCCTAATGATAAGATATATCAAAAACTAAAACATCTGATTTCTGTAACAATGTTACAGTAAAAAAGGGAAGTACTAGCAATGCATCTGAAAGTTAAGTATTAGACCATAGTTACAGAAAATATATGGTCTATTTAAAACCTTTAGGAGACTCACACCTATAATCCCAGCACTTTGGGAGGCCAAGGTGGGCAGATTACTTGAGGTCAGGAGTTTGAGACTAGCCTGGCCAACATGGTGAAACCCTGTCTCTACTGAAAATACAAAAATTAGCCAAGCGTGGTGGTGCATGCCTATAATCCTAGCTACTTGGGAGGCTGAAGGAAGAGAATCACTTGAATCCAGGAGGTGGAGGTTGCAGTGAGCCGAGATTACACCACTGCACTCCAGCCTGGGTGACAGAGTGAGACTCCATCTGAAAAAACAAAACAAAACAAAACAACAACAACAAAAAAAACCTTCAGGAGAAGGGGGGTTATCAATTTGAAAGCAGCACAAGGCTACCTTCTGGGAGACTGAAAATGTTCAATACTTTGGTCAGGATGGTGGTTAAAATACAAGCAGCTGTACCTTTAAGATTAAAACATTTTGCTGAACATACGTGTTAACCTGAATTTAAAGAATCACATCCATATCAAATATGCAGTATAGGACTCTGAATTCGAATTGTAACTACAGATTCAGTGTGACCATGGACAAGATATTTAACTCCTCGAGGTCTTTGATTTGCTCACCTGTAAAATTAGGGTATTAGAAAAACCTCAGAGAATTACAATACGCACAGAGTAAGCATGGTACATATTTTTAAATCAGTGGGAAGTCATCTCTTCCAATGGAGAGGTCTAATTTCTAGTATTTTTCTCTTTTCTTTCATGAAATGAATCATGAACACAGATTCTATGGCTGCACAAAAAGAAATGGTGTATTTGAAAAATAAATTTATCATTAGAGCCCGAGTGATGAATCATCAACCCACCATCATCTCTCAAGCCTTTGGATAAAGGGGCTCCTTGATTACATCTGGGTGAGGTAAGTCCTTGGGGTAGTGCTGGGGAAGGGGTGTGTGTGACTTATTATTGACCGGCTGTCATCTTGACCATGCATGCCATAGGCTGCCAATCCCTCTATTCATAAATAAAAAGTGACGACAGTGCTAAGATTTCAGCTACACATCTTTCCATCTGCAGAGTCGACAGAAGGTCCACACTCAGGAGGCTGCACAGTAGGTAAAATGAACCTTGTTACAGATGGGCAACTACAAGAGGAACACAGTTCAGACAGTGCCAGGGCAGAGTCAAGAAGCATGAGTTTGGCATCTAATTCTGCCACTTAACAGGCAACTGTTCTCTTTGGCCCTAATTTTTCTCACTTGTAACACAAGAAAGCAAGTACAACAATGATCACAAAAGACTATAAATCTGTAAGCAAAGACTAGATACTTATTTGTGTGGTCTTCTTTCTTTAAATCATCTTACAATTTTTCAGGATCCAGACGAAGCCTCCTCTAGGTAAATGCAGTTGTGGATTCATAGAAAATACCTTTAACCCCTTTAGCTTCCCCTATTAATTAAAACTATTTTTTACATTAGTATATATATAAAAGAACCACCTCACAAATTCCCACAACGGAGGCAAGTTGAAGCTCTCTCTCTCTCTCTTTTTTTTATTTTCTGACATAGAGTTGCTCTGTCGCCCAGGCTGGAGTGCAATGGCATAGTCTTGGCTCACTGCAAGCTCCGCCTCCCAGGTTCAAGCAATTCTCCTGCCTCAGCCTCCCAAGTAGCTGGGATTACAGGTGCCCGCCACCACACCCAGCTAATTTTGGTAATTTTAGTAGAGACAGGGGTTTCACCATGTTGGCCAGGCTCGTCTTGAACTCCTGACCTTGTGATCCCCCTGCCTCTGCCTGCTGGGATTTCAGGCCTCAGCCACCAGGCCCAGCCTAAGTTGAAGCTCTCTTTTGAGGAAATTGCTTCTCCAGCATCCCTTCCAAGTAACAGATGTTTATTTTTGCATTATCTCACCTATTTCAGAGTTGGGTCTGTGTCATTCTTATTCCCCGAAGCCTCTTCCAGACCATTACTTCCCCACCCTATTAAACACCTTCACCCTGCTGAGGCCCCACATCATAAGGCTGTAATGTTCTCCTAACTCCTGCTTGCTGTCTGACATCAGGCTAGTCACTCCCCTCAATCATTGAAGGGTTTGGCTCTTGGCTCAATTTTCCTCTATGCTCCCAGTACTGCCACCATCCTGGGTTACTTCATTTTAATAACCATCAAGTCCAGACTTTAAAACCTCATCTCTAATCAACCCCTCCATCACTCTACCTCTGCCTTAACATCTTAAACATGCCCCAGGCCTAGTTATCACTTACAACAGCTTTACTTCCAAAAGCATCAAATATCTCATTTTCTGACCATATCCTCCTGCCCCACCAGTGTGTCCCATGACCATTCCCTGACCGCCTTGGAGTCACCCGTGCACAGCTCCTCTTCTTCCTCCCAATTTATCAGCTCACTCTTTTTTGTTCCCACTTCCCTTTTCGTCCAGCTTAGATACTTTACCCTATTATTTCAATTACACTCCTAGAACTGTCTTTTGCCTTCGTCTTTTTGTCATTTTTAACTAGCAACCCCCCAACCCAAACTAATTCTACTATCTGATTTCTGTGCCTGGTCCTGAGCTGCCTGCCACCTGCTACTGATGGTCAGTTCACCTTCTCATTCCCTATGACTATTTCAAATGGTTCCATTCACTTCTCAAACCTCTGACTCTTTAATTCTTAGCATATATATTACTTCCTGTTTGACAAAAAAATAGACCCACCAGATGGGAACTTCTTGCTCTCAAACATAAACACCTACATTTATTGGCGCCACCTCTTCTCCCTTCCTGCTATAACTCCGTCTCTCCCCTTAGCAAGGCCAACCCCTCCACTGGCCTTTGTATCACACCCCTCCCACCTTCTCAGTCACCTGTCATCATCATTTGTTATCTTTTTTCTCTCTTCTAGAGTCACCTCTTCTAGGAAAGCACTTGGATTCTTCCAGTCAGCAGTTAAATAAATTCAAGTCTTAGAGAAAATAAAAAACAACCTCATTCCAACTCCTGCTCCTCTCTTCTGACACCTGTCACCTTTCCACCCTTCACCTCTTCTTCATCACCAGATTTCTTGAAAGAACAGCATACATTTGCTGTCTCCAGTTCCTCACCTGCCACTTACTCCTCAGCCTACTCCCTTCTACTCTCCTCACTCCAACGAAAGTGCTCTCATCAGGGTCGCCAATAACCTTCTTGTGCCTAAACCTTGTGGACTTCCTTTTCAGTGCATAGTTTGCTTTTACTGCTGCTAAGTGCTCGCTTTGTTTTGTAACACTCTTTCTTTCCCTTGGTTTGGGCAATTCTACACTTTTCAGGTTTCTTCTTAACACCTTGCTGGCTACTCCTTTTCAGTCTCCCTGTACGCTCAGCTGTCATCTGCTAAAGGATCAGTACCAAGCCACTTTCTCTGCTCACTCCATGTCCTTATTCTAGGCAAATGCTCTGAATATCACCTGTTCACAAATGACTCCCAACTTTTTAACCAAGCCAGTCGCTTCCTCTGAGCTACCTACCACATACTCAACTGCCTACTTGACATCACCTCAGGTATTTCAAAAGCACTTCAAACCCAATGTATCCAAATGTGAACACAAGGGCTGTACCTGCCCACACTTGGTATTATTCTATTGTTTCCTCTATCAGTGAAGGACACCATTTCTTTTTGTGAGCCAGAAATTCAGCAATTATGCTTCAAATGTCTTTCTCCTTCCTCTGCCCACATCCAATCCACCACAGGAACCATTAAATTTACCTCCTAAACATGTCTAGGATGCATCTGCTTCTCTTTATCCCCATTGCCACCACTTTCGTACAAACCACCATCATCTCACAGTAAGCTTTACTGAAATAAATCTCATGACTAGTTTATCTGTCAATATAGTCGTTTCAAACTACAAGTCTGATATTGTCACCTCTCTAAGATACCTCAAGGGCCATTTTAAGATAAGGGCAAACAATTGTAACAAGGCCATAAAGTACTCCTGCATTTGATCTCTGACTCACATTGACCCACCGAGGTCTTCACTTAACTGTCTCCTTCTTACTCAGTGCACCCCAGTCAAAAGGCCCTTCTTTCAGTTCTTGCTACGTTCAATCTCACAGGAGGGCCTTTGCATATGCTGTTCTCCTTGCCTTGGACTCACTTGCCTCCTCTGTCTACCTAGCTGATACATCTCCATTTATTATTAGAGCATAGTTCAATTGCCTCTCCCTCAGATAAGACTTCTTTGAGTCTCCCAGATGGACATTTTCCCCTGACAAACCCTACGCCTAAACCAAGCAACTGCCTTCTTTCTTGAGCCTGGACCTTAGCTGCCAACTGTGACTGAAGGAAGTCACCAGTGTGTTCTATCATCCTAAGTGCACCCTTCAAAAAAAGTCCCAGCATCCTTTTACAAGCAGCTGTAGCACTGTATGTGCCTCTACTTCATGGCACTGACCATAGTTCTAATTTAACACTTATCTTTGTGACAGCTGCCTGGTGCCTGCCTCCTCCATTTTATATCAGAAGCTCCATGAATACAGTCTGCTTTCTCCTCAACAATGGATCCCTAGTGCTTAGCCCAGTGCCTGCCAAAGACCTGGCTCTCAAAATGTCTCTCTCAAATGGAGTTGAAAATTCTTTTTTTTTTTGCCTACCTTTACCAATGGAGTCTAAAAATTCCTTAAAGTGCCTTACCTTGTAAATCTTCCATCAATTCAAACATTCCAGGATAGTTAACTTGAATTTCATCAGTGTCCTATTTAAAAAGACAAAGAAATATTCATTTGACATTTGTCATACAAAATTCTAGATCTAAAAAGAGGCTGCGGAGATTACCCAGACCAATCTCCCACGCTACGCAAAAAATCTTTATGATATTCTTCATACATGTCATCTGGCTTATGCTTGATATATAAAAGTCTCTAATTGCTGATTAAATATCCTCTAGTGTGAGAGAAATCATCCCAAAACTCCATTATTGGTTCTAGTTCTCTCCTTGGGAACGACACAGAATAAGAGAATAAGAGTATTCTGTACCCTACAAACCACTGCCCTCTTCTCCAAGTCTTTGAAAACCTTCAGGACACCGAAATCTGTAGATCCTTACATGTTCTGACTACATGTCCCTGGACAGTGTCAATATCAATCTTTCCTAAAATGGGACACCTAGAATCAAAATATTTCATCTAGTAATGCAGCTAATAGGCTTGTTTGGGAAATGAGCGCATTGGTGGTACATGTGGAGTTTGTTTCTCAGATGAAAAATTGGACAATGACTTCCTTTTCTTTCTGAAGCCTGATACAGGACTTCACTGGTGGTACAGTGGCAGAGACCACGGATGCTCTCCAAATATCCAGGTGCTCCTTGACACGTCCCAGTCTCAAACACATATTTATTTTGGCCAAAGGAAGGAAGGGCAAGATGATTAAGAGCTAGAGCCTTTTCTAGGCCATCTCTTTTGCTATGGTGACCTTACAGAACACAAGACCAGATGGCACAGCTACAAGACGGAGATGGGCTCTCCCGCCAGCATGCAGCTGTAATGTGATAAAATTTTATTGTGTTAGGCACTAAAAGTAGGAGTTTGTTCTGACTGGAAACTAGCCTAAAATAAATCTTTTTTTTTTTTTTTTGAGACAGTCTTGCTCTGTTGCCCAGGCTGGAATGCAGTGAGGTGATCTCGGCTCATTGCAGCCTCCACCTCCTGGGTTCAAGCACTTCTTGTGCCTGAGCCTCCCCAGTAGCTGAGACTACAGGCACACATCATCACATCCAGCTAATTTTTGTATTTTGAGTAGAGATGGGGTTTCGCCATGTTGGCCAGGCTGATCTTGAACTCCTGACCTCAAGTGGTCTGCCCGCCTTGGCCTCCCAAGTGCTGGAATTCCAAGCATGAGCCATGATGCCAGGCAGCAAACTAACCTAAAATAAATCTACATATCATTAATAGAGGACTGGTTAAACAAATTAAAAAATACGTACTCTATGAGATACTGTACAGTTCTTAAACAATTAAGGTAGATATATGTCTGTAGGAAAAAATCTCCAAAATATGTTACAGACTAAAAAAAAAAGAAAGAAGAGTGCATGTAATATTGCATAAGTGGGTTTACATGACATAACTGTATTCTATGGGTCTATGAAAAAAAATTGTTCTGAAAGGATATCTAAGACACAGCTAACAAATCTTTGGGCAAAGGGACCAGGGTATTAGAAGTCAGGAGAAGGGCCGGGCATGATGGCTCATGCCTGTAATCCCAGCACTTCGGGAAGCTGAGTTGGGTGGATCACCTCAGGTCAGGAGTTTTGAGACCAGCTTGGCCAACATGGCAAAACCCTGTCCTTACTAAAAATATAAAAATTAGCTGGGTGTGATGGCACATGTCTCTAGTTCCAGCTACTTGGGAGGCTGAGGCATGAGAATCACTTGAACTTGGGAGGTGGACGTTGCAGTAAGCAGAGATCTCACCATTTCACTCTAGCCTGGGCAACAGAGTGAGATCCTCTCTCTCAAAAAAAAAAAAAAAAGAGAAAAAAAGAAGTCAGAAGGAGGAGACTTCGTTTCACTTTACACCTCACTCTGTATCATTCTTTCTCTGTATGTATTTTATTCTTTAAGAAAAAAACATATACATGTATCAGGTTGTATATGCATTTTAATGAGACCTCTGGGTGGTGAGACCATGAACATTTCACCTATATACTTTTCTATATTAACAAGCTATTTTTTAAAAAAGATCCTAAGATTAAAAACAAAATTCCTTCCAGGCTGTTCTTTAGCCATTAAGCAATATTCTTTTAAAACAACTCTTCAATAAAACCAACTAAAAGCACTATCTCTACCTAAATCAAAAGAATGCCACAATAGCTTTGTTGAGGGCCTTATTCAAATTAAGGGGGACCATATTTGCATCATCCTCTTAAAGTCCTAGTCTGGTAGTTCAATTCTAAAAGAAAAACAGCTTTACTCCGAATGCCGATTCTCTGAAATTAATTCATTAATATGAAAATACAACATTAAGATGTAAATACAACTATATGATATTAATTTGACTTGATTTCACCTTAAAAATGAAAATCCATCGTAGCATAAAAGTAATATATCTAATGTATGCAACATAAACTGGTATAGCTGATAATGTAAAAGCTTTTTTGGATGGAAACTTTTAGAAAATGAATTAGAACTTTTTTTTTTGAGACAGGATCTTGCTGTTACCCAGGCTGAAGTGTAGTGGTGAGATCATGGCTCACTGCAGCCTCAATCTCTCAGGCTCAGTCCTCCCACCTCAGCCTCCCAAGTAGCTGGGACTACAGGAATATCCAGCTAATTTTTTAATTTTTTTTGTAGAGATGAGGTCTTCCTATGTTGCCCAGGGTGGTCTCGAAATCTTAGGCTGAAGCGATTCTCCCACCGAGGCCTCCCAAAGTGCTGGGATTGCAGGAGTGAACTCTGCCTGGCCAACACACAATATTAATACAGTACTTCAGAAACAAATATATGCCTCAAAGGATAAATTTAATGATTCAAGAACACATTCTTATAAATTTATTAAATCAGCAACTCTCTAATTTTATAAACTAAAGAAGATTCTATACTACTATCTTCGTATTATATTAAAGTTTGAATCATTAGGCTCATTTTTAGAGAATATGGATAGTATATTGAATTAGATTTCCCAAATAATAGAAATGCAGGCTTTTAAACGTTTTAACATCAGGTTAAACATTTTTAGTAGAAATCTTTCTAAAATTCATTCTTTATAACCATAGAAAACCATGTACAGTTCACATAATTTAACTTTCTTCTGGTGATCAGCAGAAATCCCATGTTTTTCCTACTGGGAATAAATTTTGAGTCCCTTAATATTGCTGACTAACCCATATGACCTCGTATAAATTTTTTAACATCACTTCATGAAAATATGCACCACACCTCTCCACACCCTACACTCCTTCTATACTTTTTAGAGGCTTTACATTCCCAGAGATTCTTTTTTCATCTCAATAATAGGTTGGTAACACAGCAATATAGGAGACAACTCTCAAGAGGGTAGACTATAAAGGAAATTTTTCCCATGTTATAAGTAAAATAAATATTATTGATAAAGACTTTCAATAGGCCAGGTGCAGTGGCTCACACCTGTAATCCCAGCACTTTGGGAGGCCAAGTGGGTGGATCACCTGAGGTCAGGAGTTCGAGACCAACCTGGCCAACATAGTGAAGCCCTGTGTCTACTAAAAATGCAAAAAAATAGCTGGGTGTGGTGGCATATGCCTGTAATCCCAGCTACTTAGGAGGCTGAGGCAGGAGAATTGCTGGAACCCAGGAGGCGGAGGTTGCAGGGAGGCAGAGGTTGTAGTGAGCTGACATCGCGCCACTGTACTCCAGCTTCAGCGACGGTGCGAGACTCTGTCTCAAAAACACAAACAAACAAAAAAGACTTTAAATCACCGCTTCCTAATCTATTTTTAGTTATATCAGATCTCTCAAGATCCGGTAAAAACCATGGGCACTTTCCTCTATTTACAAACAACAACAACACAAATTTTGTGTACAACATCCCAGTGCTATTGGAACCTCTAAATTTTACTAACAGGCCTGCTGTAAGCCCAAAAACATCAGACAGGGATTTCTGTTTTGTTCACTGCTATATTTGAAGTATCTAGGATAGTGCCTGATATACAGAAGGTACTCAGTAGATGTTTATTGCAAGACTGAATAAATAAATGAATTTGTGTAGAAGGATATTCACTACAGCATTGCTCCTACTGGCAAAAAAAATCAGAACAAACCTAAAGGTTACTCATAGGGAAATAGTTAAGTAAAACTGTGGTACATTCATACTAGGAAATAATATGCAGAAATTAAGAAGGAGTGCAAATATATCCATACCGATTTAGAAAACTCTCTAAAATATACTGTTAAAAAATAAAATAATTTTAGAAATGTATGAATACCTATGAATGTCTATATAAAGTAAAGTAGTTCTTGTTAAAAAAGAAAATCTGGAACGTTACACACTAAACTGATAATAGTAGCAACCTCTAGGGCAGCAGTTCCCCAGGTGTGGTTTGGAGAGTCCTGGGGTCCCTAGGATGTTTTTGGGGGTCCACTAAGTCAAAATTATTTTCATAATAATACTAAGATATTATTTGGCTTTCTACCTCTTATTCTGCAATGGGCTGTTTTAGAAGTGACATGACATGACACGTCGTATAGCAAGAGCCTTGAATGCAGAAGCAGCCATGAGAATCCAGCTCTCTTACTAAGGTATGCATTACTGGTAAAAATATGAAGCAATCCCATTCTTCCCTTTCAGTTATTTTTGTGTTAGAAAATATGGCCAGGCGCAGTGGTTCGTGCCTGTAATCCCAGCACTTTGGGAGGCTGAGGTGGGTGGATCACTTGAGGTCAGGAGTTCGAGACCAGTCTGGCCAACACGATGAAACCCCATCTCTACTAAAAATACAAAAATTGCCGGGCGCAGTGGCACATGCCTGTAGTCCCAGCTACTTGGGAGGCTGAGGTGGGAGGATCGCTTGAGCCCAGGAGTTCCGGACTGTAGTGCACTATACCCATCGGGTATCCACACAAAGTTCGGCATCAGTATGGTGATCTCCCGGGAGCAGGGGACCACCAGGTTGCCTACGGAGGAGTGAACCAGCCCAGGTCAGAAACGGAGCAGGTCAAAACTCCCGTGCTGATCAGTAGTGGGATCGTGCCTGTGAATAGCCACTGCACTCCAGCCTGGGCAACATAGCGAGACCCCATCTCTAAAAACAAACAAACAAACAAACAAAAATTAATGGGGCATGGTGGTGCATGCCTGTAATCTCAGCTACTCAGGAGGCTGAGGCAGGGGACTCGCTTGAACCTGGGAAGTGGAGGTTGCAGTGAGTCAAGATCACACTCCTGCACTGCAGCCTGCGTGGCAAAGCGAGACTCTGTCTCAAAAAAAAAAAAGAAAGAAAGAAAAGAAAATATAGTTCTTTTTCATTAAAAAAAGTCACGTTAACAAGTAATAGGTAAATTATTAATTTTAAATGAATACTAAAACAAATTCAGTTTTATGTCTAATAGTTAATATTGACAGATGTTAACTCACTAAACAAAAGCCTTTTAAAAGTTTCTCAATGATTTTTCAGTGTGTAGTAGAGTCCTGAGACAAAAATTTGAGAACTCTTACGCTCAAGAGAGAGCTAAGCATTTTTAGGATTAAGGGGGAATGACAGACTTTTGCTTTATCTGTATAGTTTAGTATTTATAACCAAAATATATTTATATGTTACTTATATAATTACAAATATAAATACAATGATCCTTCAATGTACAATTGCCTGTAGTAAGTGTTTTTTTTGTTTGTTTTGTTTTGTTTTGTTTTGTTTTGAGAGCGAGTTTCGCTGTTGTTACCCAGACTGGAGTGCAATGGCACGATCTCAGCTCACTGCAACCTCTGCCTTCTGGGTTCAAGCAATTCTCCTGCCTCAGCCTCCCAAGTAGCTCAGACTACAGGTGCACACCACCATGCCCAGTTAACTTTTGTATTTTTATTAGAGACGGGGTTTCACCTTGTTGACCAGGATGGTCTCAATCTCTTAACCTCGTGATCCACCCATCCCAAAGTGCTGGAATTATAGGCGTGAGCCACCGCGCCCGGCCTATTGTACTGTTTTTTTATCTTTTTTATTGTATTTTCATTCTCTCCAGATGGCTGCCTCTTGGAAGCCTAGTTCTAGAAAATGCTAGGAGCAGAGGGATGGGGAAAGAGGAAGGCAGGAGCAATGTAAGCTGGGCATCTACCTGGGTCCTGGTACTTCACACCCTTTATCTCTTTAAATACTAATAGCCACCTGAGGTGAGTAATATTTGTATTTTTAAAAGAAGTAAGTGCTTAAAAAGGTAAGTAAATTACTCAAATTTCCCTATCTAGTAAAGAGATAGGGGAAGGATCCAAGTTACTCCTGTTGGACACCAACATCCTAGTGTCCTACCCTGTCACTGTACCATGCTGACTTCATAGATATCACTCACTGACTACCCAGGGCTCTTTGCAGCTTTCTCCAGCTTTAGTTGGAGTACAGCACCCTGTCCTACCTTCTCTAGCCTTGATTTCACCCTAGGCTTGAGAACACACACTCTCTCCTCCTTTCTGCTTCATATGGCACTGTTTGGGGATAGTTGGTGGTGATACTACAGCTTCCCCTATGTATCCCCTTTTCGTCCTATTATCTGGAATACTCTAAGGCCCTTTTTACGCTGAACGCTGGATTTGAAGATTCTGATGGAGTTGTATGTTTAGAAACTTCTCTTCTTGTTAACTATGATACATTTTTTGAGCTACTTTTTTAGATAACAAACAGTAAAAAATTAAATATTCCTACCTTGTATCAATTAAGATGTGTTATACCAACTAAACATTGTCAATCAGACCTTTTCCCTCAAACAAAGAAAACAAAAAGGAGAGAAAGAGTGCCATAAAACCATGAACACATACAGTTTTCTGTCTTTAAAATGAAAAGAAGTTATTTTTGAACTATGTAAGTAACGGGCAACTCGATTAACTTGATAGTTACCACAGTCAGAGTATTAAAGCCAGCTCTCCCAAGCAGATGTCCCAGGTCACTGACGGCAGTGAAAGGAGAAACGTGTGGAGAAAATCCTCCTTCCCTTTCCGTTTCTGCTAACTGTAAGGAACACCGAAGTTCGTAGAGTGTGTCGCCTCCAAACATGGCACCAATAAATACTCCATCTGGTTTTAAAATATAATGAATCTGTAATAAACACAACATGATTCAAAATTGTACACATATAAATGTTAAAAATAAATATATAGTGTCTAATAAACATTTTATGACTACCATTCTTATTCTGCCAAATTAATAATCATAATTTAACAAATAACATCTAATGCAACCAGCTGTCAGAAAATCATGATGCATAATATAGTTGGAAAGACAACTATACATTCACTAATAATATTAATGCCTATAAAAATGTTGTATGTTTTCAGGTTTTCTAATCGGTACAACCTAGTTTTGTAATCAGAAAAATACTGAAAGAAAAAAATTTTAATTGGGATAGGCTGCAAAAATCACAAACTTGCCTGTATCTATGGCCTCTGAAATGTCATTTTCTAACAACTTTCATCAAGATAAGGAGTCTATTACTCCTGTTCTTGAATCTTGGCTGGCCTTGTGACTTGCTTTGGCCGACAGAATGCAGTGGAAGTGACAGTGTGCCAGTTCCAAGTTTAGGTCTCAAATGTGTTGCATGCTTCCACCTGCTCTCTTGGAGCCCAGCCCAGCCACGATGTGAGAACAAGCCTGAGCTAGCCTAGTGGAGGAGGAGAGATGTGGAGCAGAGATTAGCCAGCTGTGCACACCGAGGCCCTCCAAACCAGCCAGCTCCCAGACAATCTGGCAGCTGATCACAGACACATGGATGAGCCAAGCCAGACCCAGATTTCGTAACCAAATCCAGCCCCAACTGCCAACCCACAAAATCGTGAGCTACATAGTTGTTATAAGCCATCAAGTTAGGGTGCCTTATTATGTAGAAAAAGCTACAGAGAAATCATTATGATTCACAGCATTAACCTAGTAACACATTGGTTTTCTTTCAAAAGAAGTCATTTATTTTCCAGCTTTAAAACAAAACCAAGTTTTAACTGGTAAGTTAAGAAAAATAATGGCTGGAGTGAATACCAGAATCGCAAGTTTTGCTTACTCTCTTAGACTACCAGCTGTAACTAAACTGACTATTCTCAGCTATGCGGACCATTATAGGAAAAGGCAGATTCTGAAGTAAACCAGAATCCAAATCACAGTAGGCTCTTCTAATAAAACACTGTCTTAAATTTATATTTGATATATCATGTAGCAATTAAAAGCTGTATTATGTAAATAATTTGTAAAACCTTCGGTTCCTTCCCTTCTTCACCTTTTGTGTTACTTCCTCTTCATGTCGTCAGACTCTACTAAACCAAGTACCTAAGACTTAGTCCTCAGCAGTCTTGCCAACTCCCGTGATTTCACAATGACCACTTTCCAATCTCTATCTTCAGCTTGACCACATTCCCAGAAGTCTAAAATCATCTTCAACTCCCTATTCCCTGGACATTTGTCACTCAGCATACTTACCACCCCTGCTCCCTCCAACCCCCACAAGGAAAACACGTATTTATCAAATCAGTTCCCCTCTCCAACTGCCATTTTCTATTCCCTTTATCTGATCATTAACATTCTTTCCTCTGCTTTTACTAAACTAGACCAAAACTTTAAAGTGAGCGTTGGCTCCTCCCATTGATCTTTAGATCTAACCAGCCACCGAACTGTTGATTTTTTCTTTGTGGAGTCCTAATTACTTTTCCTTTTAACTCCTACCATTACCACCTAGGTTTAGTTGATCTCATGCTTGGACCACTGAAACAGTCTCCCTTCAATTTAAACAACTTCTCCAGGAATCAGTTTCTTTTTTTTTTTTTTTTTTTTTGAGACGGAGTCTCACTCTGTCGCCCAGGCTGGAGTGCAATGGCGCCATCTCAGCTCACTACAACCTCCGCCTCCTGGGTTCAAGAGATTCTCGTGCCTCAGCCTCCCTAGTAGCTGGGATTACAAGCACCTGCCACCATGCCTGGCTAATTTTTATATTTTTAGTAGAGGCAGGGTTTCACCGTCTTGGCCAGGCTGGTCTTAAACTCTTGACCTCAAGTGATCCACTCCCCTTGGGCTCCCAAAGTGATGGGATTACATGCATGAGCCCAGGCATCCGTTTCTAATCAGCAAAATAAATATATCTCACAGAGCTATTTAACACAAATGTAAAACAGAGCACAATAACTGGAAACTAGGAAATCATATGTGTTCAGATATGGCATTATTTTGCCCAGCAGCTTTGTAGTTATGTTATTTTCCTCTTCAAAGTTCTCCAATGGCTCTGAATTGCATCAACCCCAAATTCCTTAACCTGACACTCAAGTACCTCCTAAATCCTGTCCCAATACATCACACTTCATTTCCCAGCACTATACTAGTCCCCCAATCAGGTTTCCTCTTTGTTCCTTCATGCTGATGACGCCCTTGTACCTCTCCACCTATCCTGTGATTCTGCCTTCTTAGAATGCCTTCCCAATCCAAGTCTTACCTACCCCTAAGGCCTTGTTCAAGTTCTTTCCTCTTGAAGCTTTTCTAGGCCACTTCAAGCCACAGTAATCTTGTTCTCTCCTTTGAACACATACTTTTTACCTACCTCTCACCTATTTATTGATAAGTGTCACGATAAAAATCTACCTAGCACTCTCTGAATATAAGACACGGGGAAAATATAAATAAGTAGGCTCCTACTCACAAAAAGTTTATAGGCAATTAAGGGCTAGAAGAAATCTACACAGAAAATGTCTTATGATAACATTATTTTGCACAGTTCCTAAGCTTTTCATAAATATTTAAAACTTATCTCTACAATTAGACTTCTTAAATTCTCAGGGAAAGGAGAGTTGCTGAATGGTACTACTAGTATGCCAAGTGGTACCAGGTGCTTCCACTGATTCCATTCTCCAACTCTCAGACCTACAAGTAAATAGTCTGTGAAACCAGAAACATCTGTAGGTTTCTAACAATAAAGAAAATAATACAGGATAGTTGAATGAATGTTAAGTTTTCTTACCTGCTCAAGTGCTCTAGGAAGGTCATTCACCCAGTGCAAACTAAAATAAGAGAATACAGATTTGTTTTACTTAATTGCACAATTAATTAGTAAAATTATCACCAGTATAATAACCCATAAAAAGGTGTTAAACTTAAATTGCATAACAAAATCCACTATTTTCATACACATTTCAAAATTATAAATATTCCTAGAGGGCCAAGTGCGGTGGCTCACACCTGTAATCCTAGCACTTTGGGAACCCAAGGCGGATGGATCACCTGAGGTCAGCAGTTTGAGACCAGCCTGGCCAACATAGCAAAACCCCATCTCTACTAAAGATACAAAAATTAGCTGGGCGTGGTGACTCATGCCTGTAACCCTAGCACTTTAGGAAGCCAGGCGGGTGGATCCCTTGAGGTCAGGAGTTCAAGACTAGCCTGGCCAACATATTGAAACCCCATCTCTACTAAAAATACAAAAATTAGCCAGGTGTGATGGCACATGCCTGTAATCCCAGCTACTTAGGAGGCTGAGGAAGGAAAATCACTTGAACCTGGGAGGTGGAGGCTGCAGTGAGCTGAGATCGCACCACTGTACTCTAGCCTGCACGACAAGAGTGAGATTCCATCTCAAAATAAATAAATAAATAAATAAAGTAAGTAAGTAAGTAAATAATATTCCTAGGGGAAAACCTTCCTTGTGTCACACCAGAAAATTCCCCATGTCAATATATCACTTTGCTTAGGTAAAAGAAACTAATATGATTATTTTCTAATTCTTCACACTGAAATATGTAAAAGTCATTTGTACTTAGGCATTTTATCTAAACAGTGCTATTCTGAGACCTTACATGAAAAAAGTAGTAAAAATGCTCAAAGAAGTGTATCAGTTAAATCGATTAAGCTACAGAAATATAGTATTATTCTAAGCCAGACTTTCTTAGAAAAAAGAATTATCTGCAGACCTAAATTTTCTCAAGGCAAATAGTATAACTCATCAAAAGTTTGATTCTGTGAGTTTTCTAATTAACATCCTATTTTTTAAAAAATCGATTTTTAAGACCTTATTTTTAATTATATTTTGGAGCAGTTTTAGGTTTACAGCAAAATTAAGAGGAAGGCACAGAGATTTTTTTACATACTCCTATTTCCACACAGGCATAGCCTCCCCTATTATCAATATCTCCAGAGTGTACATTTGTTACAACTGATGAACCAAACTGACATGTCATTTTCCCCCAAGTCCGTAATTTACATTAAGGTTCACTCTTGGTGGTTTATATTCTAAGGGTTTGGACAAATGTATAATGTCATATATTCAATATTATAACAGTATCATAGAGTAGCTTTACTGCCCTAAATATCCTCTGTGCTCCACCTATTTATCCTTCCCACATACCACCCCTGGCAATCACCAATCTTTTTACTGTCTCCAGAGTTTGCTTTTTCAGAACGTCACAGTTGGAATTACACACTGTATAGCCTTTTCAGATTAGCTTCTGTCATTCAGTAATATGCATTTAAGTTTTCTCCATATCATTTAACGGCTTGACAATTTCCTTTTAGTGCTGAATAATATTCTGTTGTTCTGTTGTTTGGATATAACAAAGTTTATCCATTCACCTAATAAAGGATATCTTGGTTGCTTCCAAGTTTTGGCAACTATGAATACAGCTGCTATAAACATTTGTGTCCAGGTTTTTGCATAAACATAAGTTTTCATCTCTTTTGGGTAAACACCAAGGAGCATGCAATTGCTGGATTGTATGGTAAGAGTATGTTTAGTTTTGTAGGAAACCACTGAGCTATCTTGCAAAGTGCCTGTACTATTTTGCATTCCTACCAATAACGAACTCCACATCCTTGCCACCATTTATTAGTGTTGTCAGTGTCCTGGATTTTGGCCATTCTAGTAGATACGTGGTACATCCATTTTTTTTAAGATAGTGAAAATAAACAAAAACCAGAGCTATATATACTGAAATTTAATACATCTCTTGAATTTTCTTTCTTTCTTTTTTTTTTCAACTTGTTCTGTTGTCCAGGCTGGAGTGCAGTGGCACAATCTCGGCTCACTGCAACCTCTACCTCCTAGGTTCAAGCAATTCTCATGCCTCAGCCTCTGGAGCAGCTGGAATTACAGGTACATGCCATGACACCTGGCTAATTTTTGTAGTTTTAGTAGAGATGGTGTTTCACCATGTTACCCAGGTTGATCTCAAACTCCTGGCCTCAAGCGATCTGCCCACCTCGGCCTCCCAAAGTATTGGGATTACAGGCATGAGCTACTGTGTCCAACCCTTGAATTTTCTTTTGACTCTACTCTCACTTAGAGTCATGTGTGACAGTAAAAGTCATATTCTCAGTCTCTGCAGAGTATGGTCATACTTTCCTGGTAGAACTGTATCCCCTTATGCTGAGTTCCAGGACAGAATTGAATGTCCATTTCAAATCATACTGTGTTAAGCTCGTATTTATCATTCTTAAGGCTTTCAACAAGTATTAGATACTTTAAAAACGAAGGAGGTCATATTATAGCTCCGTCATACTTATGGGAAAACTGAAAGTAACATAATTAGTCACCTGCAAATAGCAAGCAGATGAGCTAACGTAAAAGGTTCAAAACCTTTATGACATAAATGATCTATTTATAACATATGGTTTTTAAAAAGTGGATTACCAACCTTAAACTGCTAACCACCAGGTCAAATGTATTCTCTCTGAAGGGAAGGAATTCTTCATCAACTAAAACGCTGACAGTAGGAATTTCTGTTTCTAAGGAATTCTTCTAACAGTAAGAAAACAAAAGAGCAAAACCACATTTATGTAGACTCTCAATTAATAATAACACAATCACTGTTAAATTGAAGTCAATGTTCTATTTACTTGGCAGTTTCTACCCGCCTTCCCAAAGGTGGCACAGAGAAGGCACCCAAAAAGCATTTCTTAAATGACTTAACATCAGCCAGAAAAAAACGGCTAACTAGTTGAAACAACATAAACAGGATACCCACCTCACACCAAACAAATCTCAGAAGGCCGAAAGTTTGGCTAGGCATGCTGGCTTACTCCTGTAATCCCAGCACTTTGGGAGGCCAAGGCGGGCAGATCACTGAAGATCAGGAGTTCAAGACCAGCCTCGCCATTTGAGATGGGGTTTCAATATACTGAAACCCCATCTCAAATAAAAACACAAAAATTAGCTGGATGTGGTGGCATGCACCTGTAATCTCAGCTACTTGGGAGGCTGAGACAGGAGAATCACTTGAACCTGGGAGGCAGAGGTGAGCTAAGATTGTGCCACCATGCTCCAGCCTGGGTGACAGAGCAAGACTTTGTCTCAGAAAAAAAAAAAAAAAAAGAAGGCTGAAAGTTTTAGTTAAATAACTGAAGTACTAGATGAAAATATGGGTGGACAGGACATTATTTTACCCTTCGATGAAAAAGCCTAGGTAAACATAACAGCCAGAAACTGTAAAGGAAAAGACTGATACATTTGATGACAAACTAATTAAAAATTTCTTTTTTTTTTTTTTAAGATGGGGTTTCACCATGTTGGTCAGGCTGGTCTTGAACTCCCGACCTCAGGTGATCCGCCCGCCTTGGCCTCCAAAGTGCTTGGATGACAGGCGTGAGCCACCACGCCTGGCCAAATAGTTCTATTAATACAAAAAAATAAACAATGTAAACAACTGAGGAAAATATTTACAACATATATAATGAAGGATTCATATCCCTAAAAACCAAGCACTTACAAATCACCTAGAATAAGAACACATGACAGCTAAAGTAGATAAAGGACAAGGTGCAGCCATGTCACAGAATTATTCACAAAATTCACAAGAAATACCAATAGTCAAAAGACATTGGTAGCTGTCAGATTGACAAAGACAAAAAGACTGGCCCAGTGTTGCCAAAGTAAAGGAGTAAAAGTACCTTTTTCATCGTCCAACCTTTCTAAGGGCAGTTTGAAGATGTATGTCAAAAATTTTTAAATTAACATTAAAATGAATCCATAAAGTCCACTTCCAGACTTTATACCCAGGGAAAAACTAAATCAAACATACAAAGTTGCTTCACATAAGGATGTTCACTGCAGTGTTGGTTATTAAGAAACTAGAAATTAACTGCCTTTCAATAGAAGGTTTAGCTAAATAAACTATGAAGTATTCATATATTAGAATACCATGTAGCCATTTAAAAAGATGATATATGACACATCTATGTACAAATTCACTGACAAAAAAATGACATGCTGTAAATAACATGGAATATTAGCATAGTAATGGTCATAAACAATTGCATGTGTGGGTGGGGACAGTTATGTCTGCAAATACAGAGACCAATTGTCACAAATGGTTGCCTGGTGCCTGGTAGGACTAGGGGTGATTTTTCCTTTGTCCTTGATATTTCCTATATTAGTTCCTTTTCATGTGTTAGAAAAGAAAGCTAGTTTGAGGAAAATAAAAATGAAGAAATAAAGTACGAAGAAACAAATCATGAGATTAGAAACCAAAGTGTTAAAAAGCTACCTACCAAAGCATTTTCTGCAATGTCAGCTTGGAAAAACTTTCCAATAGTTTCCTGCAATGGAATAACTAAAGCTGAAACAAATCCAGTCACAAACAATTGCTGACATTTCTAAAGGTAAAAGTATTAATTATAATTAATTACACTTATGAATATTAATTATAAGTATTATTTATATTTTATAATTTTATATTTATAATTAATTATAAGTATAATTTTCAACTTTGTAAGGGTATTTTTCACATAAAACCAGTATGGTACACAAATAATTTTAGTAACACATATCTTTTGCTATATTTAATTATATATAATAAAATAGAGAACATGAATATGCAGATTCAACATCCTGAATTTACTAAACTGGGGGAGGGCTTCTGTATTAACTTTTACATGGCATAACATGCTAAGAGCCAGTTTCCCCATCTTGTGCCACAAAGGACCCTCAATGCGTTTCCTGCCTTTTGGTTGTTCATTCATGGAGTTTACAGAGTAATGAAAGACTTCCAGACACAAAGGCTTAGGGTGGGGCTTAAGTGGTTGCATTTTCCCTACTTCACCTACCCTCTCTTCCTTCCCAAAAGAAAGGAGACTGTGCTATTTCCGTACTAGAAAAACACTTTCCCTTCAGCTCTCTTTTCTCCAGGATCCTGCTCCCCTATCTCCATCTATCAATCTTTAATCTCTGTCTTGCCTTCTTCCTTCACCTTACAACAGGCATAAGCTTTCCAATTATCAAAAATCTCTCCTCCCTCTAGGCACCTTCTGGTTGTTTGGTTTATAATCCACAACTCTACTTCTTCCTAAATTCTTTCTCCCCATTCTGAGTATCTCTTTGCTTTCACTGCACTCCTAATGCTATCTGCAGTCTCTGCTCACTAATCTCAGTCCAGCTTCACCTGACCTCTTTGAAGCACAGCACTGTCAACAGCCTCCTAGAAGCTTCTTTAGAAACTTCTATCCTGGCTGCCCTCCTCTATTAGAGAAGCCAATCCTTTTTTACTTTATCCACACCCACTTCCCTGCCCCCAACTTGGAAAAGGATCTCCCCTACCACAAAAACCCTACCATTACTTAGTCACTGCAGATTATCTGAGGGCAACTGGTATGCAAGTCAATGCTTAAATATGGGTTCTCAAAAAAAAGAAAGAAAAGAAAAGAAAAAGAAAAAAGAAAGAAAAGGAAGTGCCCTGTTTGCCAATTTCCATGATGCATTCAAACAACAGTGGATTTCATGCTACCAACATGATGTCGCTAAGTACGGAGCTGGGAGGAGATGTGCTCAATGGCTCTCACGGGCCAGCTCTGGCACACTCCTGTGAAGGGTGAAGAATTAGATCAATAGGATCATCTATCACCGTCTCTCACTTGAAAATGCCATCCCCAAATCAATCTTCCTTAAACATCACTAGATCACACCCTACAGCATTCTACCTCTGTGCCTTTCCTCCTGCCATGTCCTGACTTCCAAAGCCAGGAACCACCAACTCAAATTCTTTCAAATCCCAGGTCAGATTCTGTGCCCCCTGAGAAGCCTTGACCACATGAATCCCTACTGATTTTTCTTTTCCTTAATTCCTGTTGTACTTTAATAAGTGCACCATTTCTACGGCATTTACTATTACCAATAACAGTGTTTTAAAAGCCTCATCACACCCTTCCCCACCCAGGCCCAAGTGTATGTTTTTATCTAAGCAGATTTTATGTAGAGATTTCACTTTATGGCTGGGAGCAGTGGCTCATGCCTGTCACCCTAGCACTTTGGGAGGCCAAGGCAGGTGAATCACTTGAGGTCAGGAGTTCAAGATCAGCCTTGCCAACATGGTAAAACCACATTGCTACAAAAAATACAAAACTTAGCAGGGCGTGGTGGTGCACCCCTGTAACCCCAGCTACTTGGGAGGCTGAAGCAGGAGAATCATTTGCACCCAGGAGGCAGAGGCTACAGTGAGCCAAGATTGTGCCACTGTACTCTAGCCTGAGCACAGAGTGAGACTCTGTCTTAAAAAAAAAGAAAGAAAACCCAGTTTAATCTTTGTGTCCAGCACAATATCATATACCTAGGAGATAAAAGAATAAATTAATGTCTTTATAGTCTGAATTATAAAGTGCAAAATAAAATAAAATGTTGTGGCATTAACAAAGCTACTTATATTTAACCATACAGAAAGATTTCTAGTCAACTAATAAAGTATTTTTCTTTTTTTTTTTTTAAATATTTTTCTAGCTAAAGGTTAGCTTAATCATATTCTCTATATGAAATCTGATTATTATTGTAATTATCAAAAATGTGAACAAAGTGGGAACAAAGAGAAATATATTCTATGTAGATTTAAATAAATTACCAGTAGAAACACAACATAAAATGGATAGAGAAAAAACACTTAAGAAAAAAATTCTAAAGAGGGGAGAAAAACCACCATTGGTTCTACCACTTAATAACAAACAAACAATTCTGATATAATTAAAATCTAAATATGCTGCAAGCTAAACTGATTAGGAAAGTCTTTCTTTAAAATTAGCCAATTTTACTTTTCAAAACAAATTAAGTCATTGAATAAATATACCTTATTCAAATATTGTGCAATGTAACCTCTTCCACAACCAAGATCCAAAGCAAGGGGGAAATCTCTGAAAAAAAAACAAAACCACAGAAGTTATGCTCCGTCCATAATATAGTTTATAAAATAAGAATTATTTTTTCTTCAGTAAAATCATTTCAGTGAACACAACTTCCAGAAGGTTACATCATCTGCCTTTTTGGCCTGACCTTACGAGTGAAATATACCAGAGCCTACAGCACAATGCAAGTCTGTCTGATCTAGCTATTAACAGGACCTCATGATGAGCCAGCTTTCCACTAGCTGGCTCCATGATGTGGACTCGAAGAAGAGATTTAATGAGGATATTTTAACTCAATAATACATCCAGATAAAGAATTCAAAGAAGCTAACAATGTAAACTAACTTGAAAATAATTGACATATTTATCAATAATTATCCCTATTTCTCAGACTTGTTGAAGCAGTGGAACACTTAGAAATCTTCATGGGAAATACCATTAAGTATTAATGTTAAAGTAAAAAAAAAGATCTTAAATAATAGTTAAACTTTTACTGAAAACGTACCAGGTTCAAAGTACTGTGCTAAGTGTCTGAAGCTAAGTAAGTCAAACCAAGTACCTCAACTAATAAGGAGCAGTCAACACTTGAATTCAGTCAGTCTGAACGGGAACTGCGATCCTCCATGCCATGCTGTCTCCTCTAAATACATTTTGTTATGCTACACTGGTAAAGACACCTAATTGTAGGCCATAGGTTCAAAAACAACATATAACAAGAAAACTTACAATTTTATCTACTAATAATATTCTTCCTGAAAAACTGGAACAGAAAACACCCCTTTGCAATTTGTTTTGAAAAACCTTTGTCAAAATTATAGAACACTAGTACACAGCTGGAGAATCCCTAGTGGTAGATAACCTGATTTACCTAATGCCCTAATGCTTGATCATGAACACAGGTAATACCGCACAGTTAAGTACAGAGGCTTTGGAACTAGAAGGTAAATCTGAAAAGTTCACATGTTGTTAACTATCTCAATTTTTAGAGCAATCTTTCTATTACTGGCTTTTGGCCAAAGCAAGTGGATTTCAGGCTTGGAAATAGATACGAGTTGTGCTTCCATACATTCTTTTCTTTTTTCAGGCAACAATGAAGAAAACATTTGTTCTTCAGACACGAAAAAGGAGATTTACAGAGTGATTTAAATCACCAGTCAGACAGAGTAAATTCTTCCAGATTCTGCCATTTCAGGTATCAAGTTCCCGGCATTTAACCTCTTGAATTTCCACTCGAAAGCTGATGGCATGGTATTATGATCACCACCACTTACCTGGGTATGTCATATACACGGTCCGCAATTCGACTTCCAACCTGAAGGATTACAAGACGCATAGGTTAACAGGAAAGTAAAACTCTTTTTCCAGTATTCAACAATCCACAGGTTACTTATGCTTTAAAATAAGTACTTCCCTTTATCCCCTTTTCAATTTCACCAAAGGAACTTTCTTCTCAAATCACCAGGAAACAAAATGGAGGCAAATCACTTCAGAAGTAATTTAATGAAATTAGGAGTACATATTCTTAAAAATATTCCTATATACAATACATATATATGTTGCCTTTACATTCCATGTGACACAAGATCACAAAAACGAAAAGCAAAGAACACGAAAGGCACATTATTATCCACAGATATTGGCATGAGGTATACAAAGTGAAAAATGAGTTACCTGGGGTTTATTGCAGATCAATACATAAGAGGTCACTTGGCCGGGCGCGGTGGCTCACGCCTGGAATCCCAGCACTTTGGGAGGCCGAGGCAGGTGGATAACGAGGTCAAGAGATCGAGACCATCCTGGTCAACATGGTGAAACCCCGTCTCTACTAAAAATACAAAAAATTAGCTGGGCACGGCGCATGCCTGTAATCCCAGCTACTCAGGAGGCCGAGGCAGGAGAATTGCTTGAACCCAGGAGTTGGAGGTTGCGGTGAGCCAAGATCGCGCCATTGCACTCCAGCCTGGGTAACAACAGCGAAGCTTCGTCTCAAAAAAAAAAGAGGTCACTTAAGAAAAATGCTACTATTTGATGCCTAACAAATTTTGTGGAACTCCTAAATGAAGAAGTTTTCTGAGTGACACTCACAAGTTAGAAAAGCTAAATCTGAGATAAGCGCACCTCCCTGGCCCCAATCCCATCCCAATTTAAGAGTCATAAGATAAGCACCACCTTTTGCTGGGCTAGCTTCATCTGGCAGCAATAAAGATGAGGGAGTCTAGTATTCTCCACATTCCACTCACTCCCTCATCAACACCCGCAGAGTTGCTATTAGGACTCCCAAACACAGGTGTACTTGCTTTTTGGAAGAAGGGCAAGGGAGGAAGGAGAGTAGATGGTTTTTTCCCCGAAGTCCACTTTGTACATCATTCCTAATATGAACGCCCTATGTTTATTACAAAAAGAACTCTCATATACTTTATTTGTTCTAGTCCCACAAATTGGCTAGGCCTCAATTAAGTTGTAGTCCAGGTGCTTTTCTTGGAGGAGAAAAGGCTACAAGCATACATCTTCTAAGTACATGACATCAACAATGTAGTAAGTGCACCATGAACTTACAAATGGGATATAAAAAATTTATTGGTAGTAAACTTCCTATATCTATAATAGACATTACCAGTCTCTCTTTCTATAAGACTTCCTGAGAACAAACTGTCAATCATCTGATCAGACCTGTACTTGCACAGAGCTCTGCTCAAGCTAGGAGGTCATTAAGTGTTTGTTGCATTATACTTTTTTTTTTTTTTTTTGAGACAGTTTCGCTCTTGTGACCCAGGCTGGAGTGCAATGGTGCTATCTCGGCTCACCGTAACTTCCGCCTCCTGGGTTCAGGCAATTCTCCTGCCTCAGCCTCCTGAGTACTAGAATTACAGGCATGCGTCACCATGCCCAGCTAATTTTTTGTATTTTTAGTAGAGACAGGGTTTCACCATGTTGACCAGGATGGTCTCGATCTGTAGACCTCGTGATCCACCTGCCTCGGCCTCCCAAAGTGCTGGGATTACAGGCTTGAGCCACCGCACCCGGCCGTTGCATTATACTTGACTCCAATTTTGTTCTACTTCTGAACAAACATTTACTGAGGCCTGAACTTGGGAATGTATGTCCTGAAAGAAGAAACTCTCAGTACCGGGCCCACCTGGGCAGGGAGAAAGAGGTTTCTCAAACAAGCAAAGACCATCAGAGACCTTAATTTGATATTCCTAAAACATAAATCAGATCACTCCACAGATTAAAACAAGAGCTTCACATTTCTCTAGAGCAGTGCGGACAAAAAATCATGAGAGCCACACGTGTAATTTCAAATTTTCTAGTAGCCACATAAGGAAAAAAGTAAAAATGAGAGAAATTTAATTTTAAATTTATATTTAACCCAATATATCAAAAATATCATTGCAACATGCAATCAGTATAAAAGCTCTTAATGAGCTATTTTACATCCTTTTTTTCATACTAAGTCACTATACGCGTGTGTATTTTATACTTACAACACATCTCAATCGGACTAGTTCACCTTTCAAGTGTTCAACAGCCACATGTGTGGCCGGCAGTTACCATTCTGGCTGGACAGCGCCGATATAGAAGAAAACCCCAAGTCCCTATCCTGCAAGGCCCTGATGATTTGGGCTCTCCTGACCTCCTCTCCCGCTCTCTCCCTCTGTGGAGCTTCTCTGAAGGCCTCTATAAGGTCTTTTCGGCCTCAGGGACGTTGCTGAAATGAATGCAAGCGTGAATGAAAAGCATGTTACAAATATCCGAGCCTAGGCCTTGCGTGATTACAGTAGAGGCCGAGAGGCAGGGCTGCTGCTCAAGGTCAGACAGTGAGGTCAGGGCCCAGCCAGAGCTCGCGGAGAGGAAGACGAGGATCGGGATCGCCCCCTAACCCCGCCGCCCAGGGCGCTCACCTCCTCCTTCAGGTAGTCGAACTTCGTGGGCTCGGGCTGCTGGGCCGCCCAGTTCTTCTGTTTCCTTTTCAAATCCCGATCGAAGATATTCAGGGCTCTGGACGATGAGCCGCCCCGGGGAGAGACACCAGAGGTGACCTCCCTACGGCCCAGGTTCTCCGCTGGGACCCTCGCCGCCCCAAGTCGCCGACAAAAGTGCCAGAGACCCGCCGAACGCAGCATCTCCAGCCGCGATACCAATTACCAGCACTTTTTGTCGTGCGCATGCGCCAGAGCGGCTTCAGCGACTTCTACAAAGATGTTCGCAGAGGAAACGTGCAAGTAGTTTGGCCTAGTTCGCTTGCCATTACGGCAGAGCGTCCTGCGGAGGATTGTGGGTGCGAGTCCCACGTGAAGCTTGAAAAGGACTCCGGACGGTGAGTGGGGATGGGCTCGAGTTGAAGAGCTCGAATTGAAGTGCTTGAGGAGGCGTACGTGTGGCCCGGAGGAAGAACTGGTATCTGACAGGATCTCTTTCGCATGTGCGAGGGGTTTTGCCCCTTCCTCCTGAGCCTTTTCGACCTCCTTCAGATTTCATCGATCTTCTTCAGGGTCGCTTCTCGAGTCAGTCTGTTAGCTGTGGGAAGGAGACCCTCGTTCAGGGGTCAGCCTTGTATTCTCTGCATTAGAGAGCGTGCAGAAGGGGAGGGTGGGATACAGTTTTTCCTGGTTAGTGTATAAAAGGCCTTGTTTTTAAAATAAGGAATACCACCCTTTTAATCAGTCCTTTTTTTTTTTTTGACATTAATCAGTGACTTTTGGCTCTTTGCAAAACTCCTATCCAGAGATGCTAAAACATTAAGGACTATTCACAAGGGAACAGTATTAATTTATACACACATATGTGTATATTCTAATATGTTTCTGGGGGATCAACTCATTTGGGACTTCATCACTTGTAGAATAGGAGATTTTAGAAATGATATTTATTAACTGGAGTGAGATTTTACCTGGAGAGTCAAATTTACTTTTTATTCATTTTTAAACCTTCTTGTTTGTTTGTTTGTTTGTTTGTTTTTGAGACGGAGTCTCGCTTTGTTTCCAGGCAGGAATACAGTGGCTTGAATTTGGCTCACTGTAATCTCCACCTCCCGTGTTCAAGCCATTCCCCTGCCTCAATCTCCCGTGTATCTGGGACTACAGGCGCGCATCACCAGGATTGTCTAATTTTTTTGTATTTTAGTAGAGACGTGCTTTTACCATGTTCGCCAGGATGGTCTCGATTTACTGACCTCGTGATCCGCCTGCCTCAGCCTCTCAAAGTGCTGGGATTACAGGCGTGAGCCACTGTGCACGGCCTAAACTTTCTATTACTTTTGAAGGATGATTGGATTTAAAGACGGAACATTGTGAGCTAAACCTGAGTTGATTTTGGTCTGTTTAGTTAGGATGCTGGTCTTATAGAACTAAACGCTGTTTGTTGGCAGTAGCAGGAGATGAGGAGTAGCAGAATGAGACCAGAATGTGAAGAAACAAATGAGGCCAACTGAAGCTACGAAATCTCACTTACTTTTTTTTTTTTTTTTTTTTTTTGGTAGACAGGGTCTCTGTTACCCAGGCTGGAGTGCTATGGTGCCATTACAGCTCGCTTTAGCCACAATCTCCTGTGCGTAAGTGATTTGGCCTCAGCCTCCAGAGTAGCTGGGACCATGGGCCGGTGCCACCAAGCCGGTCTTATTTTTGTATTTCTTGTAGAAATGAGGTTTCACCATGTTACCCAGGCTGGTCTTGAACTCCTGGGCTCAAGTGATCCGCCCTCCTTGGCCTCCCAAAGTGCTGGTGGGCCACCGTGCCCGGACTAGGGAATCTTAATTACATTTGCTTTCAATTAGTAACACATAGAGGTATATAGATACAAATTCTAAGTGAGAACAGTGGACGAACAAACATTTGTTCCCCTCCATAAAGCCCTGCTTTGTTTCCTTTAAATTTATTTCTCTAAATGATCTGTAATGGAAAGAGGATATTTTGTTATGTTTCTGCTTTTTTGCATGTGACCCAGAATAAGTTGAAGAGATGAAATTAGATTTAAGTTACCTTTGTTTTATGTACATTTAACTTAGAATATATTGTAAATTAATGTGTTTTTAAAACAATTATAGTACTAATCATTATTACCATTAAAATATTTATTTTATTTTTTAGTATTGGGTTTCTTCAAGCATTTGTTCAGCAAGATTAAAAATTTAAAATGTCATCCAAACAAGAAATAATGAGTGACCAGCGGTTTAGACGGGTTGCAAAGGACCCGAGATTTTGGGAAATGCCAGAAAAGGATCGAAAAGTCAAAATTGACAAGAGATTTCGAGCTATGTTTCATGACAAGAAGTTCAAGTTGAACTATGCTGTGGATAAAAGAGGGCGCCCCATTAACCATAGCACTACAGAGGATTTGAAACGTTTTTATGACCTTTCGGATTCTGATTCCAATCTCTCTGATGAAGATAGCAAAGCGTTGAATCAAAGGAAAATAAAGAAGAAAAAACCCCCGACTCAAAAAGAAATAGATTCAAAAGATCTAGTTGAGGAGAAGAAGGAAAAAACCAATGCTAATCAGAAGGGTTCCAAAAATAAAACTGATTTAGATAATTCTGAAGGAATTAAAAAAATGAAAACCTCATGCAAATCTACGATAGATTCAAGCATAAGTCTGAAGAAGGATAGCAAAGAATTTATACAAAAAAGTATGAAAGAGAAAAAAAACATTGTTCAACCTACTGCAGACTCTTCTCGCAAAGAAAAACAAAGGACATTAGATTCGGGCACCTCTGAAATCGTGAAATCTCCCAGGATCAAGTGTTCTAAGACAAGAAGAGAAATGCAATCAGGTAGGTTGGAAAAAATTAGAGATTCTTGGGTGTTACATTATTTATTTTTATACTGATCTTTCAAAAATGTAAACACATTAATAAGTGTTTCCATACTATGATGAAATGGTCAAATGCTTATCTGGAAACACAAAGCTATAAAAGAAATATACAGTGATTATTAATTCATTATGTGGTGCTAGAAGACAGACATGCAAATTTGAATCTTGAAGTTGAACAATGATTTTGATTAGTGGTGAGCCCTTTGAGAGAACTATAGTCTCTCTCTTTTTTTTGAGACAGGGTCTTGTTCTGTCACCTAGGCTGGAATACAGTGGTGTGATCTTGGCTCACTGCAACCTCTGCCTCCCAGATTCAAGTGATTCTCCTGCCTCAGCCTCCTGAGTAGCTGGGATTACAGGTGGGCACCATCATGCCCAGCTAATTTTATTTTTTTGGTATTTTAGTAGAGACAGGGTTTCACCATGTTGGGCTGGCTGGTCTTGAACTCTTGACCTCAAGTGATCCGCCTGCCTCGGCCTCCCAAAGTGCTGGGACTACAGGATTAAGCCACCACACCTGGCCAAGAACTATATTCTCTAACCAGATACAGTATTATATGTCATAGCATGATAAGAAGAGATACGTCTAAAGAGGGTAAGTAGGCCAAGCAGTGGCTCATGACTGTAATTCCAGCAGTTTGGGAGATCGAGGTGGGCGGATCACTTGAGGTCAGGAGTTCAAGACCAGCCTGGCCAACATGGTGAAACACCCCATCTCTACTAAAAATACAAAAATTAGCCAGATGTGGTGGCACGCTCCTGTGGTCCCAGCTACTCAAGAGGCTGAGGCAGGAGAATTGCGTGAACAGGGGAGGTGAAGGTTGCAGTGAGCTGAGATTGTACCACTGCACTCCAGCCTGGGTGACAGAGTGAGATTCCATCTCAAAAATAATAAAATAAAATAAAGAGGGTAAGTAGGACTCTTGTCTCAAAAATAAAATCAATTTGTTCGACTGCTTACTAACTAGTATGTGGCAGATAAAATATGACTAAGGCATGGTCACCCATCTCAGGGCTGTCGCTAGCTTATATGATACCTTTATGCAAATTAGAAAAAGGCATGCTGTCTGGACACACAGAGCTCCCAGGGCTCACACTTTGGTGAAGAAATGGCACCTTTGAAGCAACAGCTTTTTGCACCTGAGCAGACACAGCCCCCTTCAGAATGCATGGCTTGGTGAGTGGAGGATGGCCTTGATGTTAGCCCTTCTTGTCCTTTTGTAAATACTCTTGTGCAGATAACAGCCTGCCAGACTCTGTGCAGTGGCCCTTGTCTAAAGCAACATTGCCCAGTAGAAATACATAATTTTGGATTTTCTAGTAGCCACTTTAAAAAGATGAAATAGGTAAAATTCTTTTAAACAATTTTATTTAATCCAATATATCAAAAAATTAACATTTAATATAAGTCAATGGTATTTTTTATATTCTGTTTTCTAATTTCTTACTAATATGCTATTTTCATATTAATGTCAAGTTGGACAAAACGCATTTCAGGTGCTCAGTTACCACGTGACTGGGATTACAGACGTGAGCCACCATGCCCGGCCACAACCCTTTATTATTATACAACCCAAAGTGTGGTGTGTGTACCATTGTCATAAGTGAGAAGATTTTTGATGATACTCAAACTTTTTAAATATTAATAGTTATGTACTATGTCAGCATCTTAGAAAATGGTGTAATTACCCTATCACGTCTGTGACTTAAGGAATATTGTTCAGAAAAAAACTAATTTTTAAAAATACTCAATTTAGTAAAAATACCAATGATATTTAAAAATCATGAAAATGGTATAATGACTAACAATTGAGAAATATTGCAATACTAGATAGACTGGGTCTGTAAGATGTTATTTCTAAGGTTGTTGCTTAAAAGTGGATTTTGTTTACCTCATAGTAACTTACAATGTTGTGTTTTTCTGATCTCATATACAGAACCTCTAACAATGCCTTCATTTTGGCTTTTATTCACTTCTGTTGGAATCTTCTCTGTTTTCCCTTATTCTAGCTCAATTCTTTGTATGTAGTAGATACTCAATAAATATTTGGTCAATGAATCTTACTATTGTAAGATTATAGGACCAAGAGAAACTTAGTTCCAATTTCATTCTAAATCTTAAACTTTTAAATTTGCTTTTAACTGTCCAAACTTAGAGCCTTTAAGCAGAAACATAAGCTCCAACTTAAAGATTAATGAGATGCATAAGATATATATACACATCCATTAGATAGAAGCATGCGATTACTTTAGAAGTAGGAAATGAGCCCTTTCAGAGTTGTAAGGACTAAAAATTCCAACTTAAGCAAAAACAATCTTTTAATCTTGATGTATGGCTAATCATAATAGTCAATTACAAAGTTCAAGACCTGCCAGAAAAGTTTTACATATTATTTCTCTGTCTTTATAGGTGATCTCATCCATATCACTTGTGTTGCCAACTACGTATGAATGAATCACTGATCTCCAACCCAGACTTCTCTGAGCTGTACACTCTTGATACTTTCTTTTAGATGACTGAGTGGCATTTCTATTCAACATACTCAAAACTGAACTCATGATTTCCCTCCACCAAACAAACTAGTTCATTTCTAATGTTCCTTTTTCATCTATCCATCTGCTTAGCTAGCTAGCTCTGAAAGCCAAGAAGCTGTGACTCATCTTTGACACTTCCAAAACTTCCTAATATCAAATCCCCAGTCGGTGTTATTATTATTGGTTTCACTTCCTAACTGACTCTGAAATCCATGTACTTCTCTGCCTACATACTGCCACCCAATTTAGTGCTACTTTCATTTCTTGCCTTGCATACTGTGCTACCTTTACTATATTCACATCTGTTCTTTACTTTCCCCAGTCAGTTTTCTACAATATGGTGAAGGGGATCTCCTCAATATGCAAGTCTGAGGATGACAGTATCCAAAAGAAGATGACATCCCCTTTTTTTGAAAACAGCAGTGTCTTCCCATTGCTCTTATGAAGAAGTCCAACCTCTCTCTATGGTTTTTAGATAGCTTGGCCTCTACTTAACTCTCTATTTCCATTTGTTACTTGATCACATGCTATCTGTGATCTGGGCATGATTGTTGGCTTTTTCCTATTGGCAGATTTTTACAGGTATCTTCCTTGCTGTTTCAAACAAATTTCCATCTATTAGTCTAACTTTATTTAACTCCTCTTCCTCCTTAAATTAACAGCTCGGTTATCACTCACATAGGGACCCTGTTATATCTCCTTAGAAAATATTCTTTCTTGGATAGCTTAGTTGTTATTTTAACTTTTTCTGTATATTGGTTTTATTTGATATCTATTCATGTATTCTTTTCACTCAGCTAGAAGTTTCATTGAGGGCACTGTTTGCTTCTCTTTTGCCAACTATTGTTTATTGAACGCTTAGCACGTAGCAGGCACACCATTAAGTATTGAATGAATGTCTGGATCTACTTGCATGATGTGGGCATGTGTTAAGATTTTCATTAAATAACTTGGTTAAGTGTCTACTGAATTTATATTTTCCTTTACTCTGTTTCATAGAAGTTGTGGTTAGGATTTCTGTCATAAAAATTGATCAGGCATTTACTGAATTTATATTTGCCTTTACTGTGTTTCATAGAAATTATATTTTTACTGAATTTGATGTCAAAATAATTTGGAGTCAGTTTAATTCAGTGTATATCTTTTCTTATTTCTTTCCCCTTTAACATTTTACAGTGGTTCCACCCGTAATGACAAGAGACAGTGATGGTTATGAAAACTCAACAGATGGTGAAATGTTTGACAAAGATGCTCTGGAGGAAGATTCAGAGAGTGTTAGTGAAATAGGAAGTGATGAAGAATCTGAAAATGAAATTACAGGTGTCAGTAGAGCTTCAGGTGATGATAATGGAAGTGAAGATGAAGAAGAGAATGAAGATGAGGATAGTGGGGATGATGATGAAAGTGACAGTGGCCCTGATCTTGCAAGGGGTAAAGGAAATATAGAAACTAGTTCTGAAGATGAAGATGATATGGCAGATTTGTTTCCAGAAGAGTCTGGTTTTGAGCATGCTTGGAGAGAATTAGATAAAGATGCTCCTTGTGCTGATGAGGTAACCTTTTGGATAAACAAGATTATTTGTGGAAAACATAGTATAAGCAACTTTTATGACTGGTAGAATTGATGTTATTAAGTGGGAAAAGCTTATTGGTAATATTCTTGATGATTCTGATTAAAATTTGGTATGGAATATTTATGAACTAGATGTCCAAGCAGATAAGGAAGAAGCTCTACATAAATAATGAAAAGTAGCATGAAATTTTTAATACTTGTTTTAGCTAGTAGTTTATATTTCTGTTCTTATGGCGCCTAATAGAAATGCTACAGGGTAACATACTCAACTTCCTTACTCATGCATGCATGGCAAAATAGCTTAGCAAACTTGGCAGTTAAAAAATCAGCTTATGATGATATTCTGATTTAAGAAGTAAGAACCAAGTAAGAGAAAATGCTTATCTATTATGGTTTACTATTGTTTGGCTCATTCGAAGTTCTCCTTTATATACTGAATTACACTTAGATAACTACTGTACTGTTAATTTCAGAGCATAGAGGACAGAAGGCATTACATTTTTAGAATCTTTATTTTTCAAGTATTGAGAATGATACGGATTATGTACTATTTAATTCTTCTCAGATTACACGTCGATTAGCAGTTTGTAACATGGACTGGGATAGACTAAAGGCAAAAGATTTGCTGGCTCTGTTCAATTCATTTAAACCCAAAGGAGGTGTTATATTTTCTGTCAAGGTGAGAATTGATTTCATTTTGAAGTAAATATTTCTAGGCATTTTAAGTGAAATCTGATTTTTTTTTTTTTTAGCCATAGTTTTCCTTTTAAGGAAAATAATGTTAAAGTTGTCCAATCTTCTATAACAGGTATAAATGTTAGAAAGGAGGAGGTAAAATTATTATTAATAGGTTATGTGATTGTTTACACTTTAAAAACCCAAAGAAATAAAAGCTCACTAAAGGGACAGGGTATAAGAAATGTTTTTTAAAATAAATTGCATTCCTTATTGCGAACACTGGCCAATTTTTTAAAAATTCTACTAGAAACAAAACCATATAAAGTCCTTGGGAATTACCTTAATAAACACAAATGACCTATGTGAAGTAAACTGTAACACTCGATAAATTTGAAAAACTTACGTAAATCTGGGGACACCATAATGATTAAGAATCCAGGCTTTGCATTATTACAGATCTGGGTTCAAATCTTGATTCTCATAAGTGCTATGTGATTCTGGATCCTTTTTTAATTAATCTCTCAAATATGTTTACATCTTTCCAACATATCCAAATGGATATAACAATAGTATCGGTAGTTGTAAGAATTAAGTATAAAGGAGCTCACGCTACGTATTTTATGCAGTGCCTGAAATAGCCCTGCCCTCAATCATTAGAGATTGAGTCTCCCTTATCCAAAATACTTAGGACCAGAAGTGTTTAGAATTTCAGATTTTGAAATAAAATTGCATTATATATCTGTTACTCTCCAGCCAAAGTGATCTGTTTTTAAAGAAAATTTCTCAGGATGCTCTAGTTTACTATAGTGGGTTTGGAAGTGAGTCACCCTTGCTGTTTTTATTGAATCAAACAGGTCTAGATATTTGTGACAATGAATGCACAAATTACATTGATTCTGTTTTTTCTGTTTAGATATATCCTTCAGAGTTTGGAAAGGAGAGGATGAAGGAAGAGCAAGTTCAAGGACCAGTAGAGCTATTAAGTATTCCCGAAGATGCCCCAGAAAAGGACTGGTATTAAATCACTACAGAACATAAAACTAAACCTCATAAATTCATGTCATTAGTTCAGAATTCTGGTCACCGTAACGGTTAAAACTAAAGCTTATATTTGTGCCATTCATGGTTAGAACAGGTTGCAAAACAGATTTAAAGTCTGTCAAAAGTGGTACATTATTCCAAGAAGATTTTTTTTGTGGGTATATTTATATTTCTGTATTCATGAAAATAATTATTGCAGTTTTGTAAAACATTTCATGATTAAACTGATTTGGAGTTCTTTCAAGTTCCTTCAACCTTGTTGCTCTGAATTAGTACGTTTTGCTTTTCTTGAGACATCATTGAAGCTCTGTTTGCCTTCAAATTATATAATTTTTCTTATTTGAGAATCAAATAGAAAAGTGAAAGAATGATACAAAATTTTTTATCGTGGTGCAGTATAGAAAATAATTTAAAATAGTTTTTAAGCCACTAGGTGGCGCTCTATTTGCACTTAAAAATGAGGGTTAAATAAATTAGTGACAGCAGATGAAGAATGTGGTATCAAATGTTTTATGTGGAAACTTTAGAGTGTGTGGTATCAATGCTTTGTGTGGAAACATTAAAAAAAAGGTATGTTGTAGTTAAGTGAAATTAAACTTACACGTTCTTAAGCGAACACTGCAAGATCAGAAATATCTTTGTAGCTAATTGCTTTTCTAACATATTTTATAATAATCATCATTGGTTTTATTTGAGAAGGTGATATGTGGTAGCAAAGTAACTATTCTATGAGTTAAATGATAGATAGCTGTAATTCCCACACTCTTCTTTTTTAGATACCAAATTCCAATCCAAATACCTGTATCTCGTGAGAATAAGTTGAGCTTTTAAGTGTTTAATGTTCATAAAGGCAAAGTCTTGAAGGAAGTATGGCTTGGAATGAAGACCAGCTTGTAATATGTTTTTCTTGAAAAAAATGCATTTATTTTTTAACAGGAAATTTTTGTGTTGCTGTATAAGTATGTTTAATGAGTTTTTTCCACTTTAGGACCTCTAGAGAAAAATTGAGAGATTATCAATTCAAACGACTGAAGTACTATTATGCAGTAGTAGACTGTGATTCTCCAGAAACGGCTAGTAAAATTTATGAGGATTGTGATGGCCTGGAATTTGAAAGTAGTTGTTCTTTCATAGATCTAAGGTAATCCAGTGTATGTATTACCAATTTAATCTTTTAGTACAACGTGATTATGAGAAGTAAAATATTTGAACTGGTAGTGATCTCTGTTTTCTATTCTAAAATGATTTTTTGCTTTTGGGTGAACTCTGTCGCATGAAACATCACTCCTAAGAAAGAAAACAAAGGAAATGCCGAAGTATTACGTATGAATCATCCCCACATTTTTGTCCTTTCAAACATATTGGCTCTGTTTTTAAGGTGGTATAACCTACACGATGATATTCCTTGCAACTGCCTTTTAGAGCTAGGGACCAGATGAGGTAACTTTTAAAAATGCATGGAGGGGCCGGGCACAGTGGCTTACGCCTGTAATCCCAGCACTTTGGGAGACCAAGGTAGGCGGATCACAAGGTCAAAATTAAAGACCAGCCTGACCAACATGGTGAAATCCCATCTCTACTAAAAATATAAAAATTAGCTGGGCGTGGTGATGCATACCTGTAATTCCAGCTACTCAGAAGGCTGAGGCGGGAGAATCACTTGAACCCAGGAGACAGAGGTTGCCGTGAGCAGATATGGCACCATTGCACTCCAGCTTGGGTTACAGAGCGAGACTCAGTCTCAAAAAATTTAAAAAAAAAGAATGAAGGAAGGGGCAGAGGAATTTGCTAACAGACTGGGATCTCTACATCCATGCTATCCAGTACAGCAGCCACTAGTCACATATGGTTATTTTAGTTAAATAAAATTTAAAATTTAATTGCATAGTCACATATCAAATAATTAATGGTTACATGGACAGAGCAGATACAGAACATTGCCCTTGTCACAGAAAGTTCTGTTGGACAACACTGCTCTGAATGTAAATGGCTAAATGTACAATGAGGAAATTGTAAGAATCAACCTTAAGCTTTTCCTTATTTTCAGTGATACTTCATGTATATGATATTTTATATTTGGAATGCTTACTTATTAATAATTATATTTGATCTTCAAAATACAAAATAGCCAGCTGGGCATAGTAGCTCACACCTGTGATCCTAGCACTTTGAAAGGCCTAGGCAGGAAGATCACTTGAGCCCAGGGGTTCAAGATCGGCCTGCGCAGGATAGTGAGACCTTGTCTCTACAAAAAATTTTGAAAGTAAAAATTAGCCAGACCTGGTGGCACACGCTTGTAGAGGATCACTTGAGCCCAGGGCATTGAGACTTCAGTGAGCCATGATTATGGCATGGCTCTCCAACCTGGGTGACAGAGCAAGACCCTCTGACAACAATAACAATGAAAAATATGTAGTCGGTAACTGCACTATCAGAAGTCTGGATCTTTTTGAAACCTGAGGGACCCATATGTGCTTGCACCTGACTCATTAACTGACTTCTAAAGCAGGATTTCTGTCTATACAGCATTCTTTTAAATTTAGTGGAATTAGAGAGTTATAGCTTATGAATTTCAGAAATTCATACGAAGATGAATTCATTCAGAAATATACGAAGATTATGTCTAACATTGTTTGCCTCTTAAACGTGTTTTTTTAGAAAGTTATATGTATGTATGTATAAACCACAGCTAATTAGATGAGACTCTAAACTGGTTATCACTGTGGTGTATGTTTAAATTTTTTTTTTCTTCTTAGATTTATACCAGATGATATTACTTTTGATGATGAGCCTAAGGATGTTGCCTCGGAAGTGGATTTAACAGCATATAAACCAAAATATTTCACATCTGCTGCAATGGGAACATCAACGGTATTTCTTAACTTTAAAAAATATGTAGCTGGACTCTGTGGCTTTATGAAAAGATCTTGTATGTTATAGCATGTTTAGAAATGGAAAATATTAATTTTGTTGTTTTTTCTTGAGACAGAGGCTTGCTCTCTTACCCAGGCTGGAGGCGATTCTCATGCCTTAGCCACCCAAGTAGCTTGGATTACAGGTGTGCGCCACTACACCTCACTAATTTTTGTATTTTTACTAGAAACAGGGTTTTGCCATGTTGACCAGGCTGGTCTTGAACTCCTGACCTCAAATGATCCACCGACTTTGGCATCCCAAAGTGCTGGAATTATAGGCATGAGCCATCGCTCCTAGCCTCAAAGTATTCAAAATTTTAATGCATGGGTACAAATAGAAATGAGACACAAGTGTGTCTGCATCAACTGTATCTGTGAACCTGTTTTCAGATTCTTATTATGCCTTTAAGCCTGTGTCAGTTACCTGCTGATGTTTCTTTTTTTCTCTTCTGTCTCCTACACTAAGTAATACATCAGTTATTAATATCCTAGGGAATAAGAAGTGTGTAATAAATTACCTCCCAGCATAGTTAAACAAACTAGTGAAAATTTAAAATAGGAGTACGTTTTTCTACAGATATGATTCAAAATTATAAAAAGAATTGATACAGAATTATTAAGGTATAATATCCTATTACTACATAGTAGCAAGCAGCCAAAAGGTTTTTGTCTATTGAAATAGTTTATTACTTAACTGACTACCTTCTCTCTGTTGTTTTTTTTTTTTGAGATGGAGTCTTGCTCTGTCTCCCAAGCTGGATTGCACTGTCGTAGTCTCAGCTCACTGCAACCTCTGCCTCCTGGGTTCAAGTGATTTTCCTGCCTCAGCCTCCCCAGTAGCTGGGATTACAGGTGTGCACCACCATACCCAGCTAATTTTTGTATTTTTAGTAGAGACTGGGTTTCACCAGGTTGGCTAGGCTGGTCTTGAATTCCTGAGCTCAGGTGATCTGCCTGCCTCAGCCTTCCAAAGTGTTGGGTTACAGTCGTGAGACACTGTGGCTGACCTCTTCTCCCTTTTCTTTCTCCCAATAACCCTTCTGTCCACAGCTGTACTCTGTAACAGCAACACTAGCTTCCCTCTGCTTTTCCTGTGTGATAAATCACTGTGCTTCTCTGAGGAGGGACTGGTAGCAGAGGGAGTAGCTGTATCTGTCACCTGCTGTGCTGTGGTGGGCACAGATGGCATTGATTAGTTACTGGGTATAGTAAAACTCTATGTAGTAAGCAAAGTCTAAAAAAATCAGTCACATGAAATGTAAAGTCATGTTACTTGCAGGAGTGAAATAATGATTAGGGCCAGCCTGTGCAGGCAGCCAGTGTGGCATTCCTGGGTCCTGGCTGTATCATCGACATCTGTCCTAGTTCCAGCATTGGTTTGGTGGTTATCAGCTCAGGCTTAATTATCAGAATAGGGATTGTTTCTGAATCCTGTGACTAGCTGGAATTTCTGAGATAGGTGACAGTGATTTTAAGGATCTTGATTCATTGCTGTCTCTTTTGCTCTCCTTGTCTGGAGGGATTGTCCTGAGGAGAAAAAACAAAAACCAAGGATGTGGGATCTACCCTGTGATAAAGATAAAATATCTAGCAGGGCCTTATGTGATAATAGGGGCCACATAGAGGACAGGAGCCAGTCATCACCACATCAGTCATGTCATAGATGAATTCATGTATCATGGGAGTGTAAGCTACTTCCAACTAATAGATGCTTTTCTCATCAGTGGCTCTTAATCGTTTTTAAAAATGAACCCCACTGAGATTGTGTTGCTTTATCAACAGATTTCATATAGGTTGCACATCTCCTGAAATCTTTGAACTCCTGGTGAAAAACATGTTTTCACTGATTTATAAGGTTAACTTTTTGGTTCGAGATGGAGTTTTGCTCTTGTTGCCCAGGCTGGAGTGTAGTGGCACAATCTTGGCTCAGTGCAACCTCTGCCTCCCCAGTAGCTGGGGCGACAGGCCTTCTGATACTCCTGCTTCAGCCTCCCACGTAGCTGGGAGTACAGGCACCCACCACCATGCCCAGCTAATTTTTTGTGTTTTTAGTAGAGACGGGGTTTCACCATGTTGGCCAGGCTGGTCTCGAACTCCTGACCTCAGGTGATCCACCCTTGGCCACCCAAAGTGCTAGGATTATAGGCATGAGCCACTGTGCCTGGCCCATAATGTTAACTTGTTTATCAGTACATTCTCTTAGTTTTTTTCACTGTAATTAATTTACACACTGGTTAATTTTTACTGTCAATAATGGAGTATCCTGTAGATGGTAGAGAATTGGGAGGAGATACAAGTTAAGAAAAATGATTCCCTTTCACAAATAGGATACTATTTATTAATCATGTCATTCATATATATGTTTTAATGTGTCTTAACTTTTAACTTACTATTAAACATCCAAGTTAACAACATATATTCTTTAACAAGTTTGACTTGATATTTCCATTCTCTTGCGTTATTGTTTCTTATTCATTGGTGAAAGGTGGAAATCACTTGGGATGAGACTGATCCTGAAAGAATTACAATGCTCAACAGGAAGTTTAAAAAGGAAGAGCTTTTAGACATGGATTTTCAAGCCTACTTAGCTTCCTCTAGTGAAGATGAAGAGGAGATAGAAGAGGAGCTACAAGGTACTTGTTCATCTTTCAGTGACCATTAATGGAGAAAGGTCTTTGGCAGTAGATTTAAAGGAAGGGGAAGAGCCAAATCTGTGTACAGATATACTCACATGCTCAGTATTATATATACTTGTAGACAGTGATGGATTTTAAAAAAAATTTTTCTTTGGCTGAATTTAACTATAAACATTTTGTTTAAAACCGTGACCTAACCAAACATGGCCTTTTAGACTTGTCCTGATTCATATGGTTGCACGGTTTCTTAGTAAACCAGTAAAATGATCTTTTAGGAACCCCTCCCCTTTGCCATTTTAAAAATAAGAGCATCATTTAGATTAATTAAATATTTTTACATCCCATTTTTTCAATTAGTTAGAAAGTAGACTCTCAGTATCTATAATTATTCCTTTGACTGCTTTTAAAGTTTTCTCTTTGTTTTTGTCTTTCTGCAGTTTTACTATGATAAGTCTAAGAGCAGATTTCTTTTAATTTATGGAGCTTGAGGTTTGTTACTGGGTTTTATTTGTTTATGAAGTGGTATCTTTCATCAGTTTTGGAAGTTTCTCAGCCATTATGTTTTCAGATGTTGTTTCTTTATCTTTCTAGGACATCAACTAAATACATGTTAGATCTTTTCATTGTATCATGCCTGTCTCTACTCTTATTTTTAATCTGTTGTCTCTGTACTACATTCTAGATATTTTCTTCTGACCTACCTTCCAGATCACTAATTGTCTTTTCAGCAGTGTCAAATCTGCTGATAGACCTCTACATTGAGTTCTTAATCTTGGTTATTATATTTTTTACTTATGGAGCTCGTATTTGGCTATTTTTTCAAGTCAGAAATACCACTTTTTATGTTTTTTACTCATTGCCGAGAGTTTCAACATATTCTTCATACCTGTAAACAGAGTAAACATGTTTTTATAATCTCTGATGGTTTTAATATTTCATGTATTTTCAGGTTGATTTCTATTATTTTACAAGATATTTGTCTCTTGTTTACTTGTGTGCCTAGTTAACTTTATGTGCTACTTTGGTATTTGAAGTTAGGGTATCTTTGATCAGAGAAGACTTTTATTTACTTTGGTTGGTCTAGAACCACATTTCTCCAAGTGTTAAGGCTTGAGGTTACCTGGCTTCTGCGGTGATTAAAGTCTGCATGAGGGCTGGTTTACTTCAGACTGACCATTTCCCTGGGAGTATATCCCTCTGGGTGCTAATATTTAATGTCAGGGTACTAATTGAAATTCCCTCTTTTGTTTGGGGCTTTAACTTTTGTCTTCTTGATCTTTAAAGGCTGCTAAAACCACAGTTGAGTTTCACAGCAGTTTTTTCTATGGATCGGGAAATAGGAAATTATCTCAGAGCAAAACAGGTCTTTAACCCTGGGGTCATTCCTCTAATATTCCCTTCTTGTTTTGGGCAAGTAATTCTTCTCTAACTTGACAGTTCAACTTTATAAAATATTTTTAAAATATTTAATCCAACTTAATTCCAACTTAAGATCTTCAGTGTAAGGGTTAGTCTGAAGTACTTAGCTTGCTCTTAAGAAGTTCTCAAATCATCTTTATGTTTATACAAGTTGTTTTTGTTTTTTGAGACGGAATCCCAGTCTGTCACCCAGGTTGGAGTGCAGTGGCGCAATTTGGGCAACCTCTTCCTCCCAGGTTCAAGCAATTCTCCTGGCTCAGCCTCCCAAGTAGCTGGTACTGCAGGCACTCGCCATCATGCCTGGCTGATTTTTGTATTTTTAGTAGAGGTGGAGTTTCACCATGTTGGCCAGGTTGGTCTTGAGCTCCTGACCTTAAGCGATCCACCCACCTCAGCTTCCCAAACTGCTGGGATTATAGGCGTGAGCCTCTGTGCCTCTGTGATTAATGGTATATAGATGACTCTTGAACAACATGGGTTTTAAATGTGTGGGTACACTTATAAATGGGTTTTTTTCTGCCCTTGCCACCCCTGAAACTATAAGGCCAAATCCTCTTCCTGCTCCTCCTCTGCATACTCAGTGTGATGATGACAATGAGGGTGAAGACTTTTATAATGATCCACTTCCATGTAATGCATGCATAGGAAATATATTTCTCTTTCTTATGATTTTCTTAGTAACATTTTATTTTCTATAGTTTATTATAAGAATACAGTGTATAATACACATAATATACAAAATATGTGTTCACTGACTGTGTTATTGGTAAGGCTTCCACGGAACAGTAGACTATTAGTTTTGGGAGAATCAAGTTACATGTGGATTTTCAACTGTGCCTAGGGTTGGCGCCTCTAACCTCCGTATTTTTCAAAAATCAACTGTACTTTTAAATGTATATGCTCTTTGCTTAAAGTAGCTCACTTTGTAGAAATAAAGCCCCCAGACCCCTTTTTCCCTGTATTTGATCTGTGTCTGTTTGGAAATTGGTTGCCTGGTTGTAATTTTCCTTGTCAACTTTTGGTTGATGCTATCTGCCTAATACCTTCACATCTTCATTCTTATCTAATAGAAGAATTCCAGTCGTGAAAAATTATGATTAAGAGATTTAGTGCTGATAGAAGAACCCATAAGTGTTAAACGTAGATATGTGTATTTTAAATTAACAGGAATGAATATTCTTTAAGTTGTAGCTTAACATTTTTCATACCTTTGTTGTTTTGCTTTTGCATCTGTGTTATTTTTATAGCCTAAATGTTAAATTAAGTAAATTCTAAAATGCTTCTTTAGTATTACCATAGTGCTATTAAACCCTGACTTTCTTTTTTTTTAAATTTTTTATTGGATTATAGGTTTTGCGGTACATGAGCAGAGCATGCAAGACAGTTGCGTCGGTACACACATGGCAGTGTGCTTTGCTTTTCTTCTCCCCTTCACCCACATTTGGCATTTCTCCCCAGGCTATCCCTCCCCACCTCCCCCTCCCACTGGCCCTCCCCTTTTCCCCCCAGTAGACCCCACTGTTTAGTACTCCCCTTTCTGTGTCTGTGTGTTCTCATTTTTCATCACCCACCTATGAGTGAGAATATGCGGTGTTTCATTTTCTGTTCTTGTGTCAGTTTGCTGAGGATGATGTTTTCCAGATTCATCCATGTCCCTACAAACGACACGAACTCATCATTTCTGATTGCTGCATAATATTCCATGGTGTATATGTGCCACATTTTTCCAATCCAGTCTATTATCAATGGGCATTTGGGTTGATTCCAGGTCTTTGCTATTGTAAACAGTGCTGCAATGAACATTCGTGTACATGTGTCCTTACAGTAGAACGATTAATAGTCTTTTGGATATATACCCAGTAATGGGATTGCTGTAAACCCTGACTTTCTTAGATCCTGTGATTGGTCTATTACTGCTTCTTTTAGACTACTGAAGATAGTGCTTCATTTTTCTAAGCTTTTCATAAAATACTACTCTCAAACAGTATGGAAAATCATGTTTCATCATTCTGGTTTCTTTGTTCAGACATCTCATATTAATGTAACCACATAATTGCTTAAGTATTTAATACTCTTGGAAAATGTGTATTTGCAATGGGAGTTAGTTGGGCACAAAGAGACACATTTTTTGAAGATCTTAGTGGGTGATGCTTGTTAATTTTTTTGGCATTCTAAATAACTGGATGACCATTTTATTTTTTATTGTTCAGAACAGCTGAGTCCTTTTTACAGTTAACCTTTGTCTTTTCCCCTCATAGATCTGGAGGAAGACATAATTATTTATCAGTATTTCATTTTTATTTGTATGCCTATATGGGCCTTTACAACTTTTCTGAAAATTCTGGATAGTTTTTCCTCACTATCAGCTGTAAGATAAAGAAAAAAAGATAACTTTTTATACACACGTGTGAAGATTGGATACAAGTTTTTCAAATAGATTTCTGTTTTGGGAGAACTGAAGTTTAAAATTATGTTTTTTATATTAGGGCAGCTGATGTTGTGAATAATAAGCATTAATTTGTTAGTACTTTCTGGTTGAGAGCTTGGGCTCTGCTGGTTTCGGATTCTAACTTCACCGTACATAGATTAGGTTTGCTAAACCCCCTATATCTTTCTTCCATAGCTGTGAAATGAGGATCATAATAGTACCAGGCTTACGGTTGGAAAGATTGAAATGTAGTACCGTGTATCGTGTGTTTTTATTTCTTAAAACTTTAATAAATAATGGCTTTTTGTTTGAGATACACCACTTTTTTTAAAGCATGTATTTTTCTTCAGCATTTTCATTGATTACAAATTTACTATAATCTGTAATTTAGTACCTGTCATAGATACATTAGTTTATTTGTATACCTTAGAGTTACTGAATATTTCTGCTTATTGTTTATAAGAGAGCATAGCAGGGTGGCTTACTGTTAGGATTATTATTTTTTCACTCCTTATATAGTGTTAAGGCTTTCACAAACTAGTGTCCTTGAGTTGCGAAAAAACAGAACTACATGACTTATCCCACATTTTAGAGCTTAAAAAAGTAAAATTTTAGTACTGGAAAAAATCAGTTTAAAGTAAGCCATCAGAGACTTACCACTAAAATTTTAACCTGGAAGGAGCTTGCTTCTAATTATGTTTTCAGAAGTAAGCTTTTAATAGAAAGAAATACTTTGCCATTTGTTAATGTGTTCCTGATGTTTTATCCATTGAATTATGGGATACATGATAGAATTCCATCCAACATTATTATTGTGGCACAAAGCACAAACAGGAAAAAAATGAATTTCAGCTGTTTGAATGAAAATAAAAGTGTGATAGTATAGAAAGAATGTCCTGAACCATTTTTTATTTATTTTAAGAAAAAAATATATACATACAGAAATAGTTACTTAACACATTTTTTTCTATAACACCTTTTTAAGAAGTAAGGACATTGATTATATGAACTTACTGAAGAAAGAAAAATGTAAATGAATTTTTAAAATTAAAAAAGATACAAGAACAATCTGTTAACACTGATGTTTCCCAACTAAATGCTTAATAATGTCAGACATTTTTGGTGAGCAGTTAGCAATAGGTTATAGAGGAGAGGGACTTCATTATCCTGCTTGGAGAGTTTCCTTTACAAGGAAACAATCAGTTCAGTGAGTCTGTATGTTTTGCATTAAAACCCAGGTTTCTGATTTGTTTTTGATTTGGAGACTTGCAGTGGAAATGTAGAACAAACTTTTTGGTGTATTAGTTGTCTTGGGTATTTATTGCCAATGACTTTTATACTGTTTCTTTGTTTGTATTCTAATTATTTTTACAGAACCAGGAAATGCAAATGTGAATATTTTTCCACACAGCAAAATTAATTGAAGTAACTCTCAATTCATTTTCATTCTTAATATATTAATGAAATCATTGCAGTAAGCATGCTTGCTTAAAAATGGAAAGGTTCCGTGGGGCATTCCTGGCCACGCTCTCTGGGACTTGGATCCTGTGTCCTGGGAAAGTGGGGTGCGGCCAGAAAGGTGTTCGCCCCTTGCCCATCACACGACACACATTCATGGGGAAGCTGGCACTAGACCATTCATAAACGACCTGCTTCTGGGTCTTGGTTTCATATGTAGCAGAGCAGCTCCCTCACTGCGATTTGTTGAAAGTCAGCCCTCAATACGAGGGTTTGTTAAAAAAAAAAAAGGAAAGGTTCCAGTATTGTTAGGTTTGGATTATAAACAACTGCCTTTATCTCTTTTCTTCGGTCTGAACAGCTAAATCTCCAACCTGAGTTCATCCCAACAATATTCAGCCTACAGTTACACAGTGTAACATTTTAAAGCACTGTGCTGGATAGTGGAGGACATAAGGAGGGATAAAATGCCATCTTCACTGTCTTGCTGCTTATAGGAAAGAGTAGCCCAAAAGTGTTGTGTGACTGCAGAATTATCAAATATAAATTTTAATGAAAAGGGTGATTCCCAAGCATACTACTATGACAGTGCAAATTTATATTGCAACTGATTTTTATTCTACGTGAGACCCTAAGTCTTTCATTTAATATTCAGAAGTTTAAGTCTGATTTTGATATCCTGTGGTCTTAATAACGTCTTTTAAAAGAAAGTGACTGTGAGATCTGAACGCTAGAGTTAGAAGTGAGTTGTTTCTGTGTATTGCAAATTTTTTTTTTATTAGGTGATGATGGAGTCAATGTAAAAGAAGATGGGAAAACAAAGAAAAGTCAGAAGGATGATGAAGAACAGATCACTAAGTACAGGCAGCTCTTACAGGCTATTCAAGAAAAAGAAAAGAAAGGCAAAGAAAATGATATGGAAATGGAAATTAAATGGGTTCCAGGTAAGAATTAGATACTAAATGTTTTCTCTTTTTCCAATTTTAGTATGTTGAATACATTTTAGATATGAAGGAACGGGAAATGTTTTAGTGAGGATCTTAACACATTTGCATACACCATTTAACTAACTTAATGACTAGCAGTTTAGACTCTTACCACCTTTTTCTTGATTAGTTTCTTGATAGATTTACTAACTATAAATTATTCCTGTCCCTTTATCAGAGTAGCCTTTCCTAGGTTTGAGCCTATATTCTCAGGCTATAGAAACTTGAATGAATCCAGGCACCATGTGTTCTAAAGTTATTACGCTTCTTTTGAAGATGTTTAGTTCTTTTTTTTTTTTCTTTTTTAAAGATGGGGTTTCAATGAAGTATTTTAAATTATGTAAATTGTTTTTAAAATATAATGCTATTTCACACTTAATAGATTACAGTATAGAACTATATATAACTTTTATACATACTCAGAAACCCAAGAGTTTGTGTGATTCACTTTATCGTGGTATTTGCTTTATTACTGTGGTCTGGAACCAAACTTACAGGTATGCCTGCATGTATATGCCTATATTTAAGGACTTTATAGATACATATAATCTGTTTAAGATACTCACACAAAAAGTTACATATTGATCAGTTAATGAAAATGTGATCAGAGGCTCACAGGAACATAAACCAGTACTACCACTAGGACCAATGGTTCAATATTTGTTAATTCAGCATTTCTGACATTACGGATTACATATCTATTGAAATATAATAAAATGTAACTGTATATAGAGATAAAATTTTTTTTAAAAAAGTAAAGATGGGGTTTCACCATGATGGCCAGGCTGGTCTTGAACTCCTGACCTCAGGTGATCCACCCACCTCGGCCTCCCAAAGTGCTAGGATTATAGGTGTGAGCCACCGCACCCGGCGAAGATGTTTAATTCTTAAGTGACCTTTTCTTCCATAACCCCTACTAGTCCTTAATTCATGAAGTTTCACTAACACAAAATATGTACTACATAGTCTCCCATCTTCAATCTTGCTTTGAATAGTCAAAGAAATATAGCATAGTAGAGTAGAATAACACTAGTACAAAACTAATTACAACCATGTCAAAGCTAAACAAAGACAGAAGCTGGGAGAAATCAGGATCATTCTGTAGTAAGCAGCAGTTGCCCCTTTTTTCATGGTTTCACTTCCTGCAGTTTGTTACCCAGGAAAGTACAATAAGATACTTTGAAAGAGAGAGAGGAAACAGACTATGTTGATATAACTTTTATTACAGTATATTGTAATTGTTCTATTTTATTATTGGTGGTGTTAATCTTTTACTGTGCCTAATTTATAAGTTAAACTTTATCATAGCTATAGATGTATAGGGAAAAACATAGTATGTATAGTGTTCAGTACTATCCACAGTTTCAGGCATTCACTGTGGGTCATAGAATGTATCTTCCTCAGGTAATAGGGGACTACTATACACATTTTTTTCAACAGTGGTGGGCATTGCAGCCAATACTGTTTTTATATGTTACTGCTGTTTATATTATATATAACTTTTAAAACCAGGTACATTTTTGGATAAGGGTTCAGTTCTTTAGCCTTTATTAGTCTCTAGGAGAAAAAGTACTAACCAGCTGTAGGAATACCATTGCTTAAAACTTAAAAATGTTCTATTATCAATTCTATTTTTTATAAGCAGCATGCTTTTGTATTGGGAATACAACATTTGTTTTCATTTGGGGAAAAATTAGGGTGTTTTGATATTTGAGGATTGACTGGCTATTGTAGTAAATTTGCTAGGATGGACACATGTCTGCTGCATATTCCTACAGGAATGAAGTGCTGTTGCAACCCATTTGTTTTAGATGTTTGGCTTCTGCAGGAAGTGGTGGTAAGAACAAATGAAGTTTACTGGTGTATCATATGACAAGTGGTTGGGAGAACTTAATTGATTTGGCCTGGAGAAGAAAAGTCTAAAAAGTGACTTTAACAGCTATTTTTAAGTACTTGCGGGATATGTAAATGAAGACTTAATCTCTTTTATTACCTCACTTCTTAGCACTGGTGCCACTGGATAAAAGTTGAAGGAAGGCAGATTTTAATTTAATAGTATAAAGAGGAATTCTCTATATTATTAAAATTTTCTGGCAAAAGAACTAAAGGCTGCTTTAAGGCTGCTCTCTGTGTCAGTAAATTTCCACAATAAGGCTACATAATCATGCCACTCAGAGATGTTTGTGAAGAAATATTATACTTGCGTCCCTTGACTTTATGATTCCGAGAAATGTTGAATTCTGTCTTTTAAGTTGAGTACATTATAGTTTAATTCTAATCTCAGAACAAGCTTATTGAATATATTTTAATATGAACATTTTAAAATTGAGGTGTTCAGTTGTCTGTTTGAGAAAGCAGATCTAAAATAAACTGGATTGAGGTGTTTCATAGCAAGTATTTCAGAAATATATAATGCCAGTTATAAGGTACAGATATATGATATAGGTTCCCATACTAAGTGGAACACATCTAGATTGTGTCTTTATTAACATAGTTATGAGGCTGGGCACAGAGGCTAACTCCTGTAATCCCACTTTGGGAGGCTACGGTGAGTGGATTATTTGAGCCTCAGACATTTGAGACCAGCCTGGGTAGCATGGCAAAACCAGTCCATCTCTACAAAAAAATACAAAAATTAGCTGGGCGTGGTGGTGTATGCCTATGGTCCCAGCCACTGGTGAGGCTGAGGTGGGAGAATCACCTGAGCCCAAGAAGGTTGAGGCTGCAGTTAGCTGTGATCATGCCACTGCACTCCAGCCTGGGCAACAGAATGAGACCCTATCTCAAACAAACAAAACATAGTTATGTAGGGCAGATACCTAAAAATGTTATTTATACCTATATCAATAACTGGAAGATTTAAGCAAAGCTTATGTTTCCTGGGTCCATTTGGTCATGGTACCTTATTTTTTAAAAAATATTCCTAAATTAATTTCATAATATTTTATTAAAAATATTTGTACTTGTGACAAAGAGTAATATGATCTGTAGTTTTCATTCCTTGTATTGGTTTTTGGTGTCAGGGTAATGTTGACCTTATGAGGTGAAAATGTAAAATGAAAGATTATCATCTGTGATTCCACTATCCTAATTCAACCACTGGTTAAGAAGATTACAGTTTAATTTACCATTTCTCTGCTGTGAAATATTCAATCAGATTTCTACTCTTTCACTACAGTGGACCTATAACATTGAAAAAAAAGCAATAGGACAGATCCCAAACCCACAAATATCAAGCTTTTAAATCTCTTCATTTTCATCAGCAGCCGAGTAATTGACCTGCTTTCTTAAGGCCTTTTAATTTTTAAAACATTTAAAACAAAGGTGTGTTGTTCTCTCTCCCAGGTTAGAAATGTTTCCAAGCATGTCAGGACTAGTAGAGAGCAACCAGGCCACTCAGTAGTTAGTTATGTGACTTGCTTGCTCACACAGCAACTTTACATGTACGTAGACCAACCTGTGGTTCTCTCACAAGCTGTTAAAACTACCAGTGTCAAAACCTAAAATGTTAAATCTCAGATGCCAGGTATCTGGGATGTTATAAATAACCTATAGCTTTTTCTATATTTTGAATTATTTTCATAGGATAGTTTCCCAGAAATAGAATTACTAAAAAAGGGCATGAATACTTTTTGTGTCTTGAAGTTACTGCCAAATTGCTTTCCAAAAGTGCTGTACCAGCTTATAATATCTTTAGCAATCAGTAAGAGTGTCAGTTTCATGGAATTATTGTCAACATTGGGCATATATTTTTTACTTTTAATTGAATAAGGGAAAATTGATATTTTAAAGGTAAATTGCCTTTTTTTTGAAGGCCCCTAGCGGGGTATTATTACCTGTGAATCCTTATGTACATGCACATGTAAGTGCAAAGGGTTTTTCTGTGTGCTACACGTACATATGAGATCATAGAGCAGTCTTTCTGTACCTCAGTTTATTTGTGTGGAAATTGTAAGTAATAATGCCTTTATTGCTTAAAGATACTTGTTATAAACTACAAAATACTTTCATGAAATGTGTATTTCAGTGAATTTATGTCTTAAGAAATGTGTGTTTTCAGTGACAGTTACCCTGAACCTCAGGACTCCTGTGATGTTATACTTCAGTAAACCACAGAGGGTCAGTATGAGATTATACTATGTATTCACTGGTTTTGTGGCTTGGGTCTCCAAAAGATTAACCGCTTCAGGAAAATAAATACTCTTTTTTTTTTTTTTTTTTTAAATGAACGGAGTTTTGCTCTTGTTGCCCAGGCAGGAGTGCAATGGCATGATCTCGGCTCACTGCAACCTCCGCCTCCTTGGTTCAAGCGATTCTCCTGTCTCAGCCTCCCAAGTAGCTGGGATTACAGGTGCATGCCACCATGCCTGGCTAATTTTTGTATTTTTAGTAGAGGCAGGGTTTCATCATATTGATCGGGCTGTTCTCCAACTCCTGATCTCAGGTGATCCACCCACCTCGGCCTCTCAGAGTGCTGGGATTACAGGCATGAGCCACCGTGCCCAGCCAGGAAAATAAGTACTCTTAATCGCTCACATTTGTTGTGGTTTGGTGTGATTTTTTCAAAAGAAATTCTAGTTTTGATTATTTAAACTTTCTACCTTTTTACATTGTATTATACAGTATAGTAACATAAGGAGTTTAATTTCTTAAGGGTAAGTATTAAGGGAACTGATAACAGGTTCATGGCTATAACTGGAATGAACTACTTTGTCAATAATTTCTAGGGAAATTAATAATACAATTTTATTAATTAGGATTATAAATAAGTAAAAATGTTGAATAAGATTTTTTAAAGAAAGTTATACTTAATTATTTTGATGTATGTGGAGTTATATTTCCTATCTCAATGCATTGCTAAATGTATCCTGCCAACTTACTAATGAACAGATAAGGTGATGTATATAATTAACCAGTTGGGCCTTCATGAAGAAATGTACCTCACTGGGGAATTTTTAATATACATATAAATGAAGTATAATCAGTTTTATCTCTTTATATAACTTCCCCTGTATTCATAGTCCAATTAATCTATATAATACTTTTTGTAGATAAAACAAGCTGAATATAAACATGTATGAAATTCCATCCAGAAAGGAACAAATAATGACATGTTTCTTTGTTTATAATCTTAAAAGATTAAATATGATAAAAGTCCTCTTTTTCTTAGCTATCTCTGGTTTAATGGATACTAGTGAAATGGTCTTTTTTCTACTTAACATTCTACAGTGCCCCAACTTCATTACTCCATCAAATACTTACTGAACACCTACTCTGTGCCAGGAATTGTTCTATATGCTATGTGAACAAACCATAAAAATCCCTGAACTCATAGATCTTATAATCTGGTGAAGGAGAGACCGAACAGGTGACAGATATATAAGAAACATATTTTACCAAGAACTAAAGGAAGTAGAGGTCAGGGAGTGAGCCTGCCCAGGAAGACTGTGTGAGCAGAGGAAGTAGCAAAGGAGTGTCCTTGAAGCTATCCTTTATCTCTTGTGTTTGAGGAATCCAAGGAGAACAGTGTGACTAGAGTGGAAGAGAGAAGTAAATGAGATCAGAGAGGTAGTTTGGGGCCAGATAGGAAGATTTTGTAAGCCATTATAAAGTCATGAATTTCTGTGACTGTGATGAGAAACCACTGGAGGGTTTTGAGCTGCGAAGCCGTCAAATCTGGCTTTTATGTTTTACAGGATCATTCTTGCTGCTATAGCTAAAAGTGGGGAGAAAGGACCAAATTGGGGAGATCAGTCAAGAGGCTGTTGCAGTAATCTTCAGAAAATGAAGCTTGTGGATGGGACATGTATGCAAGGGAGCACTGAGAATTCTTTTTTTTTCCCCATGTATTAAGTTCAAGATGCCCACTGATACCTAAATAGACATGCCAAGGAATCAGTTGGTTATACAGTTAAGAGTACAGGGCTGGAGATACAAATTTGAGACCTCCATCATATAAATCTCTGAAAGTGAATAAGAACAACAAGTAGTAAATATAGGCAAAAAAGAAAGGTTCAAAAGCTGATCCTTGGAGCATGCTAGCATTTAGAGGTAGAGGACATGAGGATGGACCATCCGGAGCAGCTGGAGAGGCTATCAGAGAAGCAGGAGAAAATTCATAATTGCTGGGTATTCAGCCAGCATTAAAGAAGGCATTTCAGTGAGAATATGGGTCAATAAAATGCAGGCTGAGAATAACCATTGGATTTAGCAATGTGAAGCTCATTGGTGATACTGAATGGTTTTTGTGGGATGATGGGGGTCGAAAGTGACAAGTATGGTTTGAAGGGAAGAGAGAATTTGGAGACAGTAAGTACAGGCAAGTCTTTTTTTCTGAAATATTTGACTGTTAGAAAGTTGCAGCCATCATGATACAAAAAAAAAAAAAAGCACTTCAAAGTGTAACTTCCAAAAACTAAGATATGCTTCCATTATGAGCATGGTGCCATTTTTACACCAAGGATATTATTAGTCTCAGGTTACCTAGATTAATTTATACCTAGTGTTCCAGTATTGGAACACTAAGCGGAGTTATTTATATCTCACTGTTCAAGGTCTGATTGCAGAAATTTAAAAAATTGCAATCTCAGGCATAAATGGGTTAAAATGGAAAGACTGGAGCTGTTGGTAGAAGAGTAGGATGCTTGGAAAGTAACTTTGGATAATACCTGATCTGTTTACTATCTGGCAGTGAGTTTCTGAGATGGGGTCGAGTGTAGAACTATAGGAGAAAAGGAGGTCAGTGAGCTGTGAGGCCAAAGGTATGTTCAGAGGGTCATCTGTGTGGATACTGGAGTCACCAAGAATCATGACAGAAGTATTAGAAAGAATGGCAGTGAGCTAAAATTAAAATGAGGGAACAACTGCAGTCATTAGATACCTACATCAGGATATGGAAGAATTTGGTTAAACAAAAAGATGTCTACAATAAGGAAGAGTGTAGTCTATCTAGTATCGCCTGAAAACATGATTTTCAGAGTGGAGGCATTGGGGAGGAGGGCCAGCCAGTCGATGGGAATTGGCAGTGAGTTGCACGGACAGTGGGAGAGAAAAATTCACCTCCTAAAAGAGATAGAGGGGAAGCAGTGTTCTCAGAAGAGTGCTAAGTTTTAGTGAAACTACAATTAGCAGATAAATAGGTACAGGGACTTTCCTTAATGACTAATGACTGGCTGTAACTTACTAGTGAGTAGAAAGGCTTTAGTCCTTGAGGATGTTCAGCGCTGTTTTGGGAGAAGGAATGATTTGGGAGTTGTAAACCTCTGGTGGCAGATTTAAATATGAATAAAGGGATTTTGAGATTAGTTCTGATGGTCTTAAAGCTTTAGTAAGTATTCTAGAACTCTGTGTGCTCCTGACCAGATATTCCAATGACATTCACAGCCCCATTGTGAATGTCATTGGAATATCTGGTCAGGAGCACACAGAGTTCTAGAATACCTACTCTTGGGAGGGAGGCAAGCCAGAAAACTAGGGGAGCCTCTTAGTGTCTCACACAGGCAAGAACTTCTCTTATTGCCTCACCCAGCAAGAGGAGTCCCCGTTTGATTCCTATTCCTTGGGCATGGAGTGGGGGTGTAGCTCTTTCTTTGCTCTGCTTTTTCCTCCTCCACTCTTTACAGTTGTAATTTCATTTTTATTCTGGTATCTGCTCTTTATCCTTTGTCCTCCCCGCCACTTTTATCACCATTTCTCTGTTCAGTTGTTCTATTGGGTAGCTTAACACAGAGACATCGATGACATGCATATGTGGCCATTGTATTATTTATTCTTTTTATTTAGAAGTTAAAATGTTTTTGAATTAGTGGGGCATTCATTTTGTTAGGCAGCCCAGTTTCAAGCATTTTGATTTTTAGATGTCTCAAAACCTGTTCACTGTTTAGTTTTGGTTCTCTTTTCATTTATTGCCAATGTACTCATTATTTGAAATATATTCACGAAATGTTGTTTTGGTCAGAACTTTTAAAATAACCAGGTGTTTAAAATTTTGAGTTGAGTGTAGAAGAGGGCATCAAATGGAAAACCTGAACTTAAAAATAAGCTAAAAGAATTTGTAGTTTGCCTCATATTTTGGTGGTGGGGAGGAAACCAGATCACAGTGCACTCTTGTAACTTTTACAAGGTCACACAGCTAATAAGTGGCTAGAATTTTAAAACCTAAGTGTGCACTCCTTCCTTGAATCATCCAGTTAAAAGGTTGATATGAGGAGTTTGTAAGGTAATAAGCTGTAACTTCATACTCTACAAAAAAGACTGGAGTCATGTTTGAATGTGTAATAAAAATGAGAAGCAGCTAGAGTTATCCAAAAATGATGCTAAAACATTTCCTCCATGTGAGTGCTAGTCATTTTCTCAGTGCTTCTTGAATTATTTGATAGACTGTTTTCTCTCTTAATAATACTGATGTAATTTTTAAAAAGAGAGTTTCCGAGAAGCTTTGTAAAAGATTTAATGAAAAAGCAAAGATTTTTTTTATCCTAGTAGTTTCAGAAAGTGCTAAAATTGCAATGCCTTATGAAGTTTCAGGTTAATTGATCTGTTTCCCTCCCATCTGCCCCCACAGGATCCCAGTTAAAATATGTAAATTAGCAAGATCCTCTGGTTGCAAATATCTAGGATGATTTTGTTAATATAGTCCTTCCCACTGTTTGCATGTGTAGCCACTGTTTCTAGACCATACTATTAATACCTTTTTCCTTAAAACTTTGCCTTAAACTTGCAGTCTGCCCCAGAGCTCAGGAAAGAAAACTTGGCACATGTGTTGTTTTCCCATAGCCCACAGCTATGCTGATTTGAAGTTCTGAACTCTTTGATCTGTAAAGAAAAACTTTTGCTATTCTATTTGGTTGTCTTTCATCATTCTATCTGTATTCTAACTGCCTGGCTACCAAACTGTCATTTTTCATTGCACGTGTTCTATGTGTTATTTTGACAGAACTCAATAGTATCACTTGCTTTCAACAGTTTCATTATTGTGAAATTGGAAAGTTGGTCCTTGATGTTATGCTGTGAGTTCTTTATAATGTTTTGCTAAATGGATAACATAAATAACCTTTTATTACATTTTCTCACAGATACATTTCTGAGTATAGCATCTTCATGTCTCTTATCAAGGATTATTTATTTATTTATCGTTTTAAGAGTCAAGGTCTTGCTGTGTTGCCCAGGCTGAAATGCAATGGTTTGATCATGACTCATTGTTACCTGGAATGCATGGGCTCAAGCGATCCTCCTGCCTCAGCCTCCCAGGCAGCCAGGGCCACGGGTGTGTGCCACCATGTCTACCTGGTTCATTTTTTATTTTTCATAGAGGCAGGGTCTTACTACATTGCTCAGGCTGGCCTCAAAATCCTGGTCTCAAGCTATCCTCCCTCCTTGGCCTCCTGAAGCACTGAAATTACAGACATGAGCCACCATGCCCTGCTTGTTGAAAGGATTCTATTAATTTCTTGTGCTAACTGGAGAACATTTTATTGTTTAACTTTTGAATGCTCAGAAATACTGATAAAATTATACATAAAATAAAATCTAATTTCTGCCATAGATTCAGGTTTTGGAGCTATGTAAAGGATAGGGCATAAGTACTTTCCTTTCTTGTTTGTTTGTTTTGAGAGGGAGTTTTGCTTTGTTGCCCAGGCTGGAATGCAGTGGGGCAGTCTCAGCTCAATGCAACCTCTGCCTCCCAAGTTCAAGCGATTCTCCCGCCTCAGCCTCCTGAGTAGCTGGGACTCATGCCACCACACCCGGCTAATTTTTGTATTTTTTATAGAGATAGGGTTTCACCATGTTAGCCAGGCTGGTCTTGAACTCCTGACCTTAGGTGATCTACCCGCCTCGGCCTTCCAAAGTGCTGGGATTACAGGGGTGAGCCACCAGGCCAAGCCCAGATAGGGCATAAGTACTTTTCTTTAGATCTTTGGTTTGATACAAAACTTAATCTCACCCTGGGACCATATTGACATTTTCTGGGCTCTATTCTCAGTGTCTTTTTGGTTAGACCGTTGTAGACAGTTGCTCACTGTGTGCAATATGTAGTGGTAATTTTCAGCATTGAGGTCTACGGTGAAGCCAGTAAAAACTGCTGTGGCTGGAACTGGTGACTGGGCCAACTGAATCTGCTGGTTTTGTGTGGGAGTGAGATAATACTTTCCTTCCTCAATTTAATCTTCATTGAAGGTAGGTGGTGGGATAGCCATCATCAAATGAGCTATCAAAAGATATACCTTGCCAGGCCTGGTGGCTCACTCCTGTAATCCCAGAACAAGGTGGGAGGACAAGGTGAGTAGATCACCTGAGGTCAGGAGTTCGAGACCAGCCTGGCCAACATGGTGATACCCTGTCTCTACTAAAAATATGAAAAATTAGCCAGGCATGGTGGCTCATGCCTGTAGTCCCAGCTATTTGGGAGGCCTAGGCAGGAGAATCACTTGAACCTGTGAAGTGGAGGTTGCAATGAGTTGAGATCATGCTTTCTTAACAATTGGAAGTCTGGGCCAGGGTGGTGGCTCACACCTGTAATCTCAACACTTTGGGAGGCCAAGGCAGGTGGATCACCTGAGGTCAGAAGTTCAAGACCAGTCTGGCCAACATGGTGAAACACCATCTCTACAGAAATACCAAAAAACAATTAGTCGATGATGGCAGGTGCCTATAATCCCGACTACTTGGGAAGCTGAGGCAGGAGAATCCCTTGAACCTGGGAGATGGAGGTTGCCATGAGATCACGCCATTGCACTCCAGCCTGGGTGACAGAGCAAGACTCATTTCAAAATAATAATAATAATAATAATAATAATTGGAAGTCTCTCTGTGTAGGACTTAACCAAACTTTTCCTAAGCATTGTCAGTTTTGAGTGTCATAAAATACATTTTATTTTAGGATCCCATTGTTCCTTCTTTCTGTAAACAGGGAAATTTTAAAAATTTAAAGTAATTTTTAGATGCGTAATTTTGATTTAGAAGAATTACATTTTAAAATATCCTCTGAGTGAGGGAGGGGAAAATTGTACTTATAGGATGCCTGTGCTATATCAGGAACTATTCTAGATGCTTCACACACAATACTACATTAAGTTCTTCAAAGTGGTTAGTACTCCATTTGCAGAAGATAAAACTGAGGCATAGACTTGCTTAAGATCACAAAACTAGGAGAAAGAAGAACTGTAATTCAAATTTTGATCTGAATTAGAATTTTTAAAGGGTATTTCCCTAGGTTGCTGACTAAATCTGGGGCCTGACCTCTTAGTGTAGTGTGCATGTATTTATCATTGTGTACACAGAAATACACAAGACCCTCATTGAATTTTACTTGAAAATTTGGGGAAATTTTTATTTTAATTTAAAAATAATAATAAGTGCTTACCTGGGATGACCCAATTTGTACTGTCATAGACTTCTCACTGTGTGAGAGCATTTGGTCTGCATCCAGGGTCACATGTGTAAAAATGAGAAGCCTGTGTTCTCGTAAGATGTACTGAAGGTTGAAAATAATGATGATAAAGCACGGAAGGCTTCTGTATGTTTGCTGTTGCACACTGCGGGCTTCTAAACATGTATGTTATTTAAAATTCCGACAACTTTTTATACCCAGAGAATGCTTGACCTGTCACAAATTCTTAGTAGATTCTGTCATCAGAGAATTGACAAGAATAGGCACAGAGCTTTGTAAGACAAGCTGTGGAAAATGCAGTCATACCCTGTATCATGACATTTCAGCCAACAGTGGAACAACAGTGGTCCCATAAGAGTTACAGTGGAGCTGAAAAATTTTTATCAACTAGTGCTGTCATAATGTTTTTGCACAACACATTGCCTTTTTTATGTTTAGATACACAAATACTATTGTTTTACAGTTGCCTACAGCATTCAGTTTAGGTTTGTATAAGTATACTCTATCAGGATGTTCACACAATGATAAAAAGGTCATAGCATTAGCCCATATCATCTAGGTTAATGTTTCCCATCATTAGCTGACATGTGACTGTATTGAAGTCCTAAATTTTAATGTTATTTTTATTCTCTATTACCTATACTTTCTCTCTGTTTTTAATATACAACTCACATTTCTCTGGTATATTCTATCAAATACTGTATAAAGGACACTGCCAATGAAGTAGCCAGTTAATTACAAATACGAAAGTTGGAAGAATAAACCTTAAAGATTTACTCTGTTTCAAGGATTCCCAACCAGCATACCACCAGTAGATGACAAATTAGCCACAATCTTGATTCCTTTCATCCTTAGGCCCACCAGAGGCCCCAGGTTCTTTTCTTCTCTGGCTGCTTCCTCCAGCTTGTCTGTTATGCTGTACATACATTGT